TCCAGTGTGGTGAAATCACAGCGTTGTTGACAGAAATCACATTCTGTCATCAGTCTCTGGTCAGCTCCATCCTCTAGACTTACTGGTGCAGGTGTTCCCACTGTTGATCAGATAAGGAATTTTTTTTAGCTCAATGTGCCACATGCAACTACAACAGAAAACAATATAAGGTCTTGCATCTGCTGGTTCTGTAAGGCTTACCTGGTGGAACAAGGTCATCAGTAACTGTCTCATCCAACGCAGGTGTACTGTCAATCTTTCGCCATTTTTTCATTTCCTGTCTCTCATAGTCTGCAGTCTCTGTGGCCTTCTTCTCAGTGTGGCCCAAATGCAGTGATGGTGCCCAGTCCAAATGCGAGTTGTACATTTCATTTGCTGGTTTTCCTAGTAACACAATCAAAATGATCATCCCATATCAGAAGTGTAGCAGAAGAAGTTGTGTATGTGGTGAAGGAGAGAAGGAAAGAAACCGCAAAATCGTACACCATCTTTAACTTACCAGACTGAAAATGCAGGATACTGTGGAAAGTTATGTTTGGTCGTTTTATAGCCGTGATCCAAGCGAGTTGACGACTCTTGGGTATCTCAGGTACTTGGTCTCTGTGGTTGCGCCTCCAAGCGGGAAAACAGTGAAAAGTTAGTCCACTTTTGTGCTTTTTTCCCTGGCGATCATGTGTTACGCTGTTACACCCCACAACACAGCAACGGTTTACCATATTTGACATAGTGATAATAGGCAAGTTTCAGCTGACGTCATTGTTATTAAAAGCCCGCGTTGCATGCTGGGAAATATTTTGGTCGGAGGCAAGAAACATGATAGCGTCAAACACAGTGCATAACCTCGCGTATTTATCCCCGATAATGGTAAATTTCTGCTGCATTATCGGACGCACAAATAGAAGCACGGAAGAAGGAAAATGTCTTTTTCGTATTCCGAGTGAAAAGAACCACTAACGGTGAAATAAACGGCTTTCAAACATCCGCAGAGCAAACGCAGAAGATCCTAACAAACCGTGGACTCCAACAAGTTCAACAACACATCGAGACTCTTGGAGGTTTTCATCTTTTCTGCTGTGAATGGCCCAGGAGTTTCCACCAAGTCATTGTGGATATCGCCAAAGTGAATATTTGTCCAGGTAGTTGGGGATTCTGACCAGAAATTTGGTTTCGTCCACATTTTGTAGGGGTTGAAAAGGGTGATTTGGCTCCATCGATGCTTATGACCAATTTCGTCTTCGGTTCTCTGTCATTAGACTGGATAAATAACCGGGATCAATACCCTTTACGTGCTTTCTCGCTCCATCCGTCATGATGAATTAGTGTTTCTTGCCTCTGACCAAAATAATTCCCAGCATGCAACGCGCACTTTTGTCAGTAATGAAACTCGCCTATAGTAACTGATCAAATGAAGCTGCATGGCCGAGAGGGAGTACATCTGTAAACAGCGCACAGTGATCCAAGTAACAGGTAAGGAGGCCTCCAACATGGCGGCCATGTCAAGTGATGACATCACGATCCCAAGCCCTATAGCTAACGTTAGCACGTGATACAGGATTTAGCTAATCAAAACGTGAAAGAAAAAGACAATATACTATATCATCACTTAACAAGTATATATCTCGAGGAAAGTGTATGTATGATGCTCTCTGATTAAAACTTACAATCGAGGCTCCCTTCATGGCCTCTGTCGTCAGTTGAAGCAAACTAAAGTCCAAGTCCAAGTCCAGGCATGTGTAACCGAGGGTTAGTTTATACGTATGATGTATAAAGGATGCAGTGGATGGTCAAAGAGAGACAGAGTCAAAGATAAAATTTAAGAATAATTTATTTATAAACCACCAGTTTAGGAAAAATTTATCATTTATTATAACATTTTTTTTAAATACTGAAGGCTGCAGGCGCATGTGGCAAAGGCCCAAACTTGAGGAGATCGAGCACTCGTCACTCTCCGTGCAACACACACACACACACACACACACACACACACACACAGAGACACACAGAGACACACACAGAGACACACACAGAGACACACACACACACACACACACACACACACACACACACACACACACACAGAGACACACACACACAGAGACACACAGAGACACACACACACACACACACACACACACACACACACACACACACACACACACACAAATAAACACAACTTGCTAGGACAACTAAAACACACAAATACGTGAAGGAACAGCACGTGAGGACTGATGAAGCCCAAGTGAGAGACCTGCGCACCAACCCTCCAGCAGACGGGTCCGCCCACGTCCAACCAGCCCTGAAGCAAGAAAAACAAAAGCCAACACAAACCAAAAAGATACAACTAAGAGGTTAACAAAACAAATGAATATGAACTCAATATACGGACAAATTAAACCCAAAATAACCAACGCAAAAGACCCAAATAAAACGACAAATGGCCAGCGGCATCTATGAAACACAAACAAATATTAAAAGCCCACAGAAACAAAGAATGAAAAATACAGTCAAAAAGAACTTAAATTACCTAATGAAAAGGTCAAATGAGTGGGTTAAAAAGGTGCCCTCCCAGGCAGATGCATCAGGTGGTCAGAGTCTAAAAAAAACAAACAGGCACCCAAATAACCAGTGAGATAAAAACATACTTAGTAACAGAGGGACACCCACCAGGCCTACAGCATAATGTGAAGGAAACGGAGGAAAACAGCGAGCAGGTAGTTTGGGGGTGAGAGAGCAGCTTACCTCTAGCTTCAGCTATGGACCTTAAATGCCCAGCGGCAAACTGGAAGTGTAGGGCACCGTCACGTGATATTGTGAACTGTGAAGGGCAACTGTGATTCGGTCACATATGTGTTGACATGTGACAAACAAGTGGATGTTTCAAAATAACACAAGGGGAAGTGCAAGGATACCAACATTTTACAGTTTCAAAAGTAAAGTTTTAACAGAAGATAGGGCATACAACCACACATACATTAGATAATCTAGTATCTAATGCTGATTAATTAGAACATCTAGTATCTAAAGTTGATTGATAAGATAATTTAGTATCTAATGTTGATTGTATGACCTATTTTCTGTTCATTTTCTAAGATGTATCTGTGTTTTTTTCTGCTCTGTTAACCCAAGAAGCTTAATGTGAGGCTTTTAATGCTGAAGAGTAAAGAAAAGAAAATGCATTTTGATGAAGATAAATGTTGAATCTGAGTGCTTTCCAGCTGAAACAGCTTCTGCTCACTGTTCCCTGCTAAAATAATAAATAATTAAATATTTCAGTTAAATGTTAATAATATTAGGCTACAGTTATGTTTTTTTTTTTAAGTACTTAATTAAAACATTTAGATTAAAAATAAGAAAATCTGATAGATGCATCTAAAAATAAAAAAATAGAATTAAGAAGAGCATCTAACATTCTTTTAATTAGACTGAAGTTTTTGATTCATTTGAGTGTTCAGGTTTACAGTGTATTAAAATCTTTCTATCTTCATGGAGACCAAACCAGACTGAACAACAAGTCAAGTATTTTTGAGCTGTAAAACCATCTGTAATAATAATAATAATAAATGTAAGGTAGAAGGGTTTAATTTCATACTGTGGAACATTCCAAGCAGAGCAATGACATCTCCATAGAAACAAACAGGTGACAGACCCAGGGCACCTTTAAAATAAATGGATAAAGGAAAATACTAGATCTCTGTGAGTGCTTTTATTTTTATGATGTCAGTTACAAACTTCCTCAAAATAGAAGGACACAACTCAGTCTAATATATTCTATTAAAAAAGTCCAACTTTTACTAAACCGTCTACAACAATTATGCAGACGACACTCAGATCTACGTCTCTCTGGCAGCAGGAGACTATGGGCCAGTGGAGTCACTTTGGTCACTGCATCCAACAGATCAGTGTGTGGATGCAAAACAACTTTCTCCAGCTAAACTCTGACAAGACTGAAGTCATAGTGTTTGGTCCACAGAAACAAAGGGACAGTGTCAGCATCACCTCCAGTCTCTCTCTCTAAAACCTTCAAATCAGGCAAGAAATCTAGGGGTAATAATGGACTCAGACTTGAACTTTAACAGTCACATAAAATCAATAACATCTGCAGCCTTTTACCATCTAAAAAAACATAGCAAAAATCAAAGGTTTACTGTCTAAATCAGACTTGGAGAGACTTATCCATGTGTTTGTCTCCAGTAGGTTAGATACTGTAATGGTCTGCTCACTGGTCTCTCCAAACGAGCTGTGAGACGCTGCAGAACATCCAGAACATCCAGAACATCCAGAACATCCAGAACGCTGCAGCTCGGGTCCTGACTCGAACTAGGAAGTACGAGCACATAAGTCCTGTGCTCAGGTCTCTGCACTGGCTCCTGTGGCTCAGTGAGACTTTAAAGCAGCTCTGCTTGTACAAGTCTCTCCATGGCCGAGCACCAAAGTACATCTGTGACATGTTAGTGTCATATGAACCATCTCACACTCTGAGGAGCTCAGGGACCGACCTCCTGCTGGTGCCCAGAGTCACGACTAAACAAGGGGAGTCAGAGTTTCAGGTTCATGCAGCTAAAACCTGGAACAGTCTGAACATGTGAGACAGACTCTTCTGTGACGCTGTTTAAATCCAGACTCAAAACATTTCTGTTTAACTGTGCAAATAACTGAAAGGTTTTCATTCCGCACTCTTCTCTCCAATTTATGTCTCTCTTTTTTAATTTTAATCTTCATGATTATTTATGTTTTTATTTGTTTTTATTATGATTTTAATGTATTTCTTATTCTGTAAAGCACTTTGAATTACTTTGTGTACGAATTGTGCTGTACAAATAAACTTGCCTTGCCTATTTTTAGCCATGAATATGAACAAAAGAACAAGTCAAGACAACAACTATAGATTATTGTTTGTGGAAATGCCAAATGTTAATTCCTTTATTGTCAAGGGTGTTGTTTGTCCTAAGATAAGGGTGGAGTGATTCAATATAAGTGCTTCCTCAGAGACAATCCAAAATATCCTCAACTTCAGAGCCTGGACTGCCAACAATCAACCCAAAATGGACAGCAAGATTATCTGTTTGATGCTTCTGCTGGGATTGTATGGAGGAACAGCTGTACAAGGTAAAAAAAAAACTTCTATTTTTATTAGATCTAGATTTAGACACACTTTATTGATCCACAAGGGAAGTTACTTATCCTAAACTTTTCAAAGTTTGTAAAGAAATATATTTCAAATCCTGAAAATTGGAACACAATGTAGAAATTGGGATTTAAAAAATTATATTACAATGATACATGATACAAGATACATGTGAGTGATATTTGAGCTCAGTATAACGACATTTACAATTGAATAATAATAATAATAATAATAATAATTATTATTATTATTATTATTATTATTACTTTATTTAATATGTGATTATTGTAAACGTTTAGCACAATTAATGAAGAATGTTCTTTTGTATAATATTAATAAAATTATCTTTTCTTTCCTAAATGTAGCTCGTAATTGTAACATAACTACTACTGCTCCACCTACAACTACTCCTACCTCAACTACAACCTTAGGTGTACTTATATCACCTAACCCTGATACAACTACACCTCCCCCTACTACAACTATACCTGACACTGATACATTTACAACTGTCTCTACTACAACAATTGAAACTACAATGACAGCTCCACCATCAACCACACGTGAGTCCTTCACCCACACTACTGCTGTGCTCTTGACTTTGGGATAGCATTAATATATTGTGCTTAGTTATTGACCAAAAATATTGCATTTTACTATCAAAACATACTTTAATATTTATTTTGTTTAATTCACATACTTGGGCGAATGTGTCTTCTCTCTTTTTTTTTTCATTGTTCAAGTTGCAGCAGAATGTGACATCTTTCACCTCTCAGCTCTTTGCTCTTATAGTTTTTTTAACCATTAATTAAAATAAGCTGAAAATCTTTGTATTGACAATATAAATAGCTCTTCTCTCTTCTCTGTTCTTCAAAGTTGACATGAGTAAAACTAGATTTGGTAATCACAGAAACCAACCTGAAACCACCAGCCTCAACAGTCCAGTGTCCTCTGAGAAGCTGTGCTGTACTGGATACACCAAAAGCCTTTAAACCAAGTCCAGTTCCTTTTACAATTGTGACTGTGTCTCGTCCATTGTACTTGTCATGGTCTTCAGAATCTTTAATGAATGACCACACAAACATTTGATTTTGGTAGAATTTGCTTTTGCTACAGCACTGAAAAGGAAACATGCTCACTTATGTCAACAAAACCTAAAGACAACATTAGGTTGCCCTCTTGTGGCTGTACTAGCTGGTTACAGAGTTGTGACAAATTGAAACTGCACCAGTGGGTTTAAAATCCACAGTTTGATTCACACATGTCTCTGTCTGTTGCAGCATGTAAACCGTTCACCAGCACTGAGCTGGCGGGGGAGGAACTTACAAGGCTCTTTAACTCACCTGTGTACAAAGCTGAGTGGATGGTGAGGCCCCTGGACGACCTGCCAGTCATCATAGGACCCATCTCCCACACTGGAGTCAGGTGAGCACCACCTGCAACTGGAAACACTGAACCACACACCACAGTGCATTTAAAATATATTGTACAGCTGTTCCACAGTATGGCATTAAATCATAATATATTCATAAAGAGCAGCTGGCGAAGCTACAGGCCAGATCTGTGGAGAGGGAATCCTCGCTTACATGAATGAATGTTTTGCTCTGTTAATAAAAATATCTTTAAAAATATATAAAATGGACATGTTTAATGCCATATTGTGGAACATTCTAGTGCCTCTTATCTATTTATTATTTTCTCTACTTGAGGTGTTTTTGTTGTCATTGCCACTGAATCATTATTTTCAGGATAAAGTGTTCACATTTGTTTTAGGGTGACGTTGTGTGACGGCTCACAGTGGCTCATTCACAAAGGGCCTGGTTATGGCAAAGACTCTGAAACAGTAGTGACCAGTGCCACACACATGTCTGACAGGTGGAAGGTAAGAGACACAGAACAATGAAAACACAGCCCATGTATCTCAGCAGCAGTAACGCAGTAATAATGTCTGTATATTTTTCATTTCAGACATTATGCACCAAGGATTTCAAGGGAAAAAAGACAGTGTCTGAATTGATGAATGCAGCTGGAACCACATACAATTTACTGTTTAACTGCCATGTCGCATCCATAACAATCATGTTTCAATGATGTGACTCATGCTGTGTCCATTCTTTAACGCCCCCATACTACAATATTCTCTGATCTACTATATGTTATAATGTGGTTTCCTCATTAAAATACTTACAAATACAGACCTGGAGTTGTGTTTTGTTTCATTCACACATGTTTAACACACAAGCCCTGCATATTTAGTTCTTCTCTCGAAAAGAAAACACTCCTTGTGATGTCACGTGGTAATACACAAATTGCTTGACTGTATTTTTATACCTTCACTAGAATCATCTGGATCATTTCAGCCCTGGACTTGCCAATCCAAACTAAAGGTAAAAAGCAGCCATTAACTTGAAATTACTCATGACATCACAAAGTGGAACTCCAAGTATATTTTTGAGGAGCTAGTGTTATAGCATGGCTTAAAGAGTCATTTTTTACATATTGTGGGACAGTTAAGACATATTTTTTAAAGATACAGTTTGTAATTGTCTGGGGATGACATGTCACCTGCACGATTCTATGGAAACAGAAAGTTACACCCACACTTCAGAACATTCTTTATGGAGATAGAAGTGTTATATGTGTTATATATACATGATATATAGTGATATTAGTCAATAGAAGCAACAATTCTGTGGAAACAAGCAGGAAGAGTCCCTTCTCTAGGTCAAATAACAGTTCAGCATCTTCTCTTGTCACAAGTGGGATTTTCCATAACCTCAACCTGTGACACTGTCAGAATAAATAAACAAATGTGAGATCATTTTTCCACAATCTCTTCAGAAGGTGGAGTCAGTATTGAACTGCAAAGACGTGAGTGTGTCAGCTGAAACTACTTTAACCAATAAGACTGATATTGTAAGTTTTTTGGATCCAATCCCTAACAAATAATGATATGGTTCAGTGTTTGTGTATTTCTATTTTGGATAAAGCTTTAAATCTCAAACAGAGCTCTATAAGTCCATCTGAGTCTATATGATTTATAATATACCATGAATGCAAACCATAGGCAATGTCAAAGCAATGGCCAATATGGATCCTAACAAAAAAATTGTCAGCACTTTGTTTGGTAACACTTCCTTTTTGGAGATATAATTGTTACAAAACGAGCTGATCTAATACGATACCGGCATGAACCAGTACAGAGACTGGAATAAAAAGGACCTTGCTTAGAGAAGAGTGAGCGAGGTTGCTGGAGAAGCAGGTAAGTTGTTATAAAATGTTATATAGCTCTATAGCATGTAGCAATGTTGTAACTAGTAACTAGTCTGCTTCTGTATGGACTTTTCTGGATTAGCATACAGCATTTATTGTGTTTCAAATCAAGTTACAATTGCTTTTGATCACAAGTTGCTTATTTTAATGTTAATAATGAATGTGCACAAAATTTCTGTGTAATTATTCCATTGAAGAAGTACCGTTGAATGTTGATCATATTTTAATATTGTAAACTATACTGATATTTTTGTTTGTTTTTCAGAGGATGTGTGCCGGAAAAATGGAAGGGCCTGAGGGACATTTACATAAAGAAGACAAGAGGAGTGGGTCAGCAGGAGGAATAAAGAAAGAGTGGAAATACTCCAGGTTCATGGTCTTCCTCGACCCTCTTACTAAACCTCGCCAGACCACCGGCAATATGAGTGTTGAGGAGAACTTGGAGTACTCTAAGGACCAGGATCCTGAGGAGTCAGAGATGGAAGGTATGTACATTAATATTGTTTTTGTGTGAGCAGTTATCTGTTATTAGAGTAATTAACATTAATATTAAACAATATTGTGACAGAGTCAGTTTCTCGTGAGGGGAGTGACAGGTCTTCTCTGTCCCTCGCTGCTTCCTCTCCCTCCCCAGCCCCTGGTCCATCCCCACCTCCTGCTGCACCCACAGGTGGGTAAGCAGTTCTGTGTGTGCAGTGCTTGTGTACATCACATGTAACCACTGAACCTTGAAACTGTGGCTTAACTATCAGGCACCTCATTGTACATTGTGTACATTTTATAATGACACCAAGAAGAGGAGGAAAACATCCCCAGGAGCCTGTTTCAGAGGTGGAGCAGGCTCTACTCGACACCCTGAGGAATAGACCACCTCCGAGAGAGTTCAGCTCAGACAAGTTTTTCCTCCTCGGTCTAGCTCCTGCTCTGTTGGACATTCTGCCTTAGGAAAAATATTTTTTTTTAATTTTTAAATAACAAAACTCATTTTTGAGTGCCACACAGTATTAATGAATTTGCAACCTTCAGAAAATTTGACCCCGACTCACAGAATGTAAAAAAGAGGAAAGCTCAACAGCAAGGACCGACACCAGTCTCTTTCATCCTCTCCTTTATTCTGTCCCTCAGCTCTTCCCTTCTCCAAGCAAGGTCCTTTGTATTCTGCTCTCTGCAATATGTAAATATAAATAAATATGTTAAATTGTACCTTTTGTATTTTGTACATCCTGGGAGATGCCAAAAAATGCAATTTATGATCTTCTTATGCACATCATTAATATCATATCATCATATTTGTTACTGGTTATGTATAAACCATTTGTAACTATTAATGTTTCATCATAGTTGACACTAGAAAATAATGCTGGTATACACCAACAAACACGATTGTGACAACAACTTACAAATGATTAAATAGAAAATATAACACACTCAAGGATCTTTTAAATACTTATTTTTTTTATAAAAATCAAGAGGAGTTAGTAAAGTACATATAAAGCAGTTACAGTGTCAGTGTTGGAACAGATTTATGTGGTGCAGTGTTTATGGATCAGGCTGATCAGAGAATTGAACAAAGGCAACATCAAACAAGCAGATGCAGTGACAACATTGCTCTGGGAAATCTCCCTGCAATGTAAAGTCAGGCTTTCCACAGGGCTTAAAAAGTATTCAGTGATTATGCATGTGAATTTGGCATTACAGTAACTACTACCTTCTCCTCATTCTTTGGTGGCTTTCACAAGATGAAAGCTTAAATATTTTTTTTCTTTTTCCACATCTGTTAATTGCATGAATTGTGACATTCAAAAGGCATTAAAAATCTTTACATTTGTTTTGTTGAAATCTGCATAAACCCTGAAAGTAAACAATGCAATGATGTTCTGCAAAGCTGTTGCTGGGAGGTGCAAGGAGAGAAGAAAAGCACAATACTATATTAAAACATATTTAGGTAAAGTATAAATTAAATAGATATATATATATATATATATATATATATATATATATATATATATATATAAAGCTCTTCACTGGTTTGTGGGTGGCTCTTAATAGAGCCGTTGTAGTCCTGACAAGGACTTTTACTCAGTGGGCTGTCACAGTACTGCTCCCTCTGCTGTGAAGTACGCTCTGAAAGTATCCCCCACACATACACTGCTCCTGTGAGGCATTGTCTGCAGCAACCTGACACAGCGGCTGCAAAGGATCCTCTCCAGGAGCTAGGGGCATCAAATCAGAATTTCATCAAATACATACTGGAAATGTGGAAATGTAATTTCATTAGAGGTCTACTGGAGGGTGATTGAAGCATAGCATAACTTTAACCATCTCCTAGCAGCCATTTTAAAAATCATAATTTGTGTACTTATGTCTGTCATTGTTGGTAGTTTCAGGTGAATAGTGTGGTTTACAACAGGCATTTGGATCAAGATAAATGTTGAATCAGTGCTTTCCAGCTCATGTGAAACAGCTTCTGCTCACTGTTCCCTACTAACAGATTAAATATTTCAATAAACTTTTAATATGAGGCTACAGTTATGTATAAAAAATATTAATACTTAATCAGAACATTTAGGTTTATATATATATATATATATATATATATATAAATGAGCATCTAACTGTTAGGAATTACTGGTTGGACCCAAATGTGCAGAAAAAAAGGGATTTATTAACAAAATAGCCTTGGAAGGGGGATGGGTTCCAGGGGAGGCAGGACGGGTCCAGGTTGGCTACAAATGTGAGGGATGTGGTGAAGGAGGCTGACCAGAGGCTTGCGGAACAGGTGTCAACGGGATGAGGCTGGCTCCAAATGGGAAAAACACTGGAATGACAGAACAATCTGGCAGTGGGGAGCAGGTCAGCGGGTCTTTTATTGCAGGAGATGATTACTTGATGAGGACCAGGAGTGGAGCTCAGCAGGTGTGTATTTGGGGACCCGCCCAGGAAATGCCAAATAAGGAGAGGAGAGAAGGGAAGAGGGAGCAGGGAAAGGTGGGGTAGGAGGAGCAGGAAGAAACCCTCACTCTAATATTCTTTTAATTAGACGGAAATCATTATTTTTGATTCATTTGAGTGTTCAGGTTTACAGTGTATTAAAATCTTTCTATCTTCATGGAGACCAAACCAGACTGAACAACAAGTCAAGTATTTTTGAGCTGTAAAACCATCTGTAATTTAATAAATGTAAGGTAGAAGGGTTTAATTTCATACTGTGGAACATTCCAAGCAGAGCAATGACATCTCCATAGAAACAAACAGGTGACAGACTCCTAACCAAAAAGTTACATAGTGCACCTTTAAAATAAATGGATAAAGGAAAATACTAGATCTCTGTGAGTGCTTTTATTTTTATGATGTCAGTTACAAACTTCCTCAAAACAGAAGGACACAACTCAGTCTAATAGATTCTATTAAAAAAGTCCAACCTTTACTAAACCTGGAAAGTCCTGTTGAAATTGGAACAGCATCTATTTTTAGACATGAATATGAACAAAAGAATAAATCAAGACTACAATTATAGATCATTATCTGGGGAAATGCCAAATGTTAATTCCTTTATTGTCAAGGGTGTTGTTTGTCCTAAAATAAGGGTGGAGTGATTCAATATAAGTGCTTCCTCAGAGACAATCCAAAATATCCTCAACTTCAGAGCCTGAACTGCCAACAATCAACCCAAAATGGACAGCAAGATTATCTGTTTGATGCTTCTGCTGGGACTGTATGGAGGAACAGCTGTACAAGGTAAAAACTAAACAAACAAACAAAAAAGTCTATTTTTATTAGATCTAGATTTAGACAAACTTTATTGATCCACAAGGGAAGTTACTTATCCTAAACCTTTCAAAGTTTGTAAAGAATTATATTTCAAATCCTGGAGCAGATTCAGTTGGAGTCAAAAGTGGAACACAATGTAGAAATTGGGATTAAAAAAATAACATTACAATGTATGAAACATCAAGTTACATGTGAGTGATATCAGAGCCCAGTATAATTATATTTACAATTGAATAATTATTGTTGTTATTATTATTATTATTATTATTATTATTATAGTTAGCAGTTAGTAGTAGTAGTGGTAGTAGTTTATTTAATAGGTGATTATTGTAAATATTTAGCACAATTGATGAAGAATGTTCTTTCATAAATATTAATAAAATATATATATTTTTTTGTGTGTAGCTGATTACCTTTTCTTTCTTAAATGTAGCTGGTAATTGTACCATGACTACCACTGCTCCAACTACAACCTCACCTGTCCCTACTACTACCTGAACTACAACTACCTGAAACTACTACAACTACACCTGAAACTACTACAACTACACCTGAAAACTACTACAACTACACCTGAAACTACTACAACTACACCTGTCCCTACTACAACTACACCTGAAACTACTACAACTACACCTGTACTACTACAACTACACCTGAACTACTACTACAACTACACCTGAAACTACTACAACTACACCTGAAACTACTACAACTACACCTGAAACTACTACAACTACACCTGTCCCTACTACAACTACACCTGTCCCTACTACAACTACACCTGAAACTACTACAACTACACCTGAAACTACTACAACTACACCTGAAACTACTACAACTACACCTGTCCCTACTACAACTACACCTGAAACTACTACAACTACACCTGAAACTACTACAACTACACCTGAAACTACTACTACACCTGTACTAACTACACCTGTCCCTACTACAACTACACCTGAAACTACTACAACTACACCTGAAACTACTACAACTACACCTGAAACTACTACAACTACACCTGAAACTACTACAACTACACCTGAAACTACTACAACTACACCTGAAACTACTACAACTACACCTGAAACTACTACAACTACACCTGTCCCTACTACAACTACACCTGTCCCTACTACAACTACACCTGAAACTACACAACAACAGCTCCACCATCAACCACACGTGAGTCCTTCACCCACACTACTGCTGTGCTTTTGACTTTGGGATAGCATTAATATATTATGCTTAGTTATTGACAAAAAATATTGCATTTTACTATCAAAACATACTTTAATATTTATTTTTTTTAATTTATCTGTCAGCTCTTTGCACTTATAGGTTTTTTTTAACCCTTAATTAAAATAAGCTGAAAATCTTTGTATTGACAATATAAATAGCTCTTCTCTCTTCTCTGTTCTTCAAAGTTGACATGAGTAAAACTAGATTTGGTAATCACAGAAACCAACCTGAAACCACCAGCCTCAACAGTCCAGTGTCCTCTGAGAAGCTGTGCTGTACTGGATACACCAAAAGCCTTTAAACCAAGTCCAGTTCCTTTTACAATTGTGACTGTGTCTCGTCCATTGTACTTGTCATGGTCTTCAGAATCTTTAATGAATGACCACACAAACATTTGATTTTGGTAGAATTTGCTTTTGCTACAGCACTGAAAAGGAAACATGCTCACTTATGTCAACAAAACCTAAAGACAACATTAGGTTGCCCTCTTGTGGCTGTACTAGCTGGTTACAGAGTTGTGACAAATTGAAACTGCACCAGTGGGTTTAAAATCCACAGTTTGATTCACACACATGTCTCTGTCTGTTGCAGCATGTAAACCGTTCACCAGCACTGAGCTGGCGGGGGAGGAACTTACAAGGCTCTTTAACTCACCTGTGTACAAAGCTGAGTGGATGGTGAGGCCCCTGGACGACCTGCCAGTCATCATAGGACCCATCTCCCACACTGGAGTCAGGTGAGCACCACCTGCAACTGGAAACACTGAACCACACACCACAGTGCATTTAAAATATATTGTACAGCTGTTCCACAGTATGGCATTAAATCATAATATATTCATAAAGAGCAGCTGGCGAAGTTACAGGCCAGATCTGTGGAGAGGGAATCCTCGCTTACATGAATGAATGTTTTGCTCTGTTAATAAAAATATCTTTAAAAATATATAAAATGGACATGTTTAATGCCATATTGTGGAACATTCTAGTGCCTCTTATCCATTTATTATTTTCTCTACTTGAGGTGTTTTTGTTGTCATTGCCACTGAATCATTATTTTCAGGATAAAGTGTTCACATTTGTTTTAGGGTGACGTTGTGTGACGGCTCACAGTGGCTCATTCACAAAGGGCCTGGTTATGGCAAAGACTCTGAAACAGTAGTGACCAGTGCCACACACATGTCTGACAGGTGGAAGGTAAGAGACACAGAACAATGAAAACACAGCCCATGTATCTCAGCAGTAACGCAGTAATAATGTCTGTATATTTTTCATTTCAGACATTATGCACCAAGGATTTCAAGGGAAAAAAGACAGTGTCTGAATTGATGAATGCAGCTGGAACCACATACAATTTACTGTTTAACTGCCATGTCGCATCCATAACAATCATGTTTCAATGATGTGACTCATGCTGTGTCCATTCTTTAACGCCCCCATACTACAATATTCTCTGATCTACTATATGTTATAATGTGGTTTCCTCATTAAAATACTTACAAATACAGACCTGGAGTTGTGTTTTGTTTCATTCACACATGTTTAACACACAAGCCCTGCATATTTAGTTCTTCTCTCGAAAAGAAAACACTCCTTGTGATGTCACGTGGTAATACACAAATTGCTTGACTGTATTTTTATACCTTCACTAGCTCCTCAAAAATATACTTGATATTTTTGAGGAGCTAGTGTTATAGCATGGCTTAAAGAGTCATTTTTTACATATTGTGGGACAGTTAAGACATATTTTTTAAAGATACAGTTTGTAATTGTCTGGGGGTGACATGTCACCTGCACGATTCTATGGAAACAGAAAGTTACACCCACACTTCAGAACATTCTTTATGGAGATAGAAGTGTTATATGTGTTATATATACATGATATATAGTGATATTAGTCAATAGAAGCAACAATTCTGTGGAAACAAGCAGGAAGAGTCCCTTCTCTAGGTCAAATAACAGTTCAGCATCTTCTCTTGTCACAAGTGGGACTGGTTTTAGGATTTTCCATAACCTCAACCCGTGACACTGTCAGAATAAATAAACAAATGTGAGATCATTTTTCCACAATCTCTTCAGAAGGTGGAGTCAGTATTGAACTGCAAAGACGTGAGTGTGTCAGCTGAAACTACTTTAACCAATAAGACTGATATTGTAAGTTTTTTGGATCCAATCCCTAACAAATAATGATATGGTTCAGTGTTTGTGTATTTCTATTTTGGACAAAGATTTAAATCTCAAACAGAGCTCTATAAGTCCATCTGAGTCTATATTTATATATTTATTTATTTATAATATAACATGAATGCAAACTATAGGCAGTGTCAAAGCAATGGCCAATATGGATCCTAAAAAAAAAATTGTCAGCACTTTGTTTGGTAACACTTCCTTTTTGGAGATATAATTGTTACAAAACATATGAATGTGTAAATTTAGATTTGTACACTTAAAATACATCTATATTTTTTACACTTACAGGTACAATTTACAAATTTTAGGTTCAAATCAGCCGTTGCACTTACAAATTGTCTCAAAACTTGTGAAAGTATAATTACCAGGTTTGTACTAAGTTGTACCTGTACGTGTCAATGAAATTTGTAAGTGTAAAAAAATGTATGTGTATATAAATCAACATTTACACATTCAAATGTTTTGGAACAAATTGTACCTTCATACCTTTTATCTATCTATTAAAAACTCATAAAAGTATGTCAAAATAGGTGTATTCTTTGGTATCCTGTGATTGAAAAGGGTGGAGAAAGATTATGAACGTGTTATGGCCTAAGGAACAGAGTATATGACTTCCAGACAGAAGCAGTGTTTCCTCATACCTCAGATTTGTCATTACTGCCTGCGGCTCAAAAAACCCCCAAACACCTTAATTTAGATTTTTGTGAAGGAAGAAAGGCCGGGGTTTTACTTTTCAATTTAGATTACTTACACACACTGTACAAATACAATGCAATAAAATGCAGCTCAGCGCTTTACCAGAAGTGCACTGAAGGAAGTACTGCGTGTACTTTTAACAGTAATCTTATGTAACAGTTTAGCACAATAACAAAAATGACACATGCTTTAGTTAAGAACTGACAATGGCGCTCACATGGAACACTTGGATTATTTATATAAATGTTGGGCTTATAATAAAGTTGAAGGTACATTATGTAACTATTTTGGTGTAGAGTCCTTTGTTTTTCCACCGAGAACAAACCAGACCAAGTTGCAGGTCACATCTATGGAGAGGCGACTCCGCCAGAGTCAGAATGTTTGTTTTTCTAGGTATTTTTGAGCCATAAAACCATCTGTAACTGAATAAATGTAGAGCTGTGTAATGTCATACTGTGGAACATTTCAGGCAGAGCAATGACATTTCCATAGAAACAAGCAGGTGAGGGACACTCATATAAACAAGAGTAAAAAACCATATAGAGGCTTTGCACCGTCACGTATCCCCCATGGCAAAGGTACCTACGCCGCCATGACACCGGGCACACACTGTCATTGACTTCAGCAGCATTGAAGAAACATGGGCAGGTTTTGTTGTGTATTTGGTTGTTCTAGACGCTCTGAAAAGGGATAAAACGATTAATCTCTTCACTGTTCCTCTGGAAATGACTCATCAGGATCAAACAAGGGAATTATTGAAAAAAGACGCGGATTATGGCTAGAGAACATAAACCAAGAAGAGATTTCCTATGGTACCATCAAGACACACTCACATCACTTTCATCAAGGTATTTGCTATTTAAATTGTTTCATAGTTTATTTAATGAGAGAAGCACATTTATTGAACTAAAATTTCATTAATTTATCCAGGAAAACCCGCACTAGTTTACGATTCAACGAACCCACACTGGGCTCCTATGATGGCGCACGAGTCGAAGAGTCTGTGAGCCGAACCTCGAAAGAATCGGCCATGAAAAGATCCTCACGAACATTTAGAAAGATCCACTCGCAAAAAGTGATTAATTCTAGACGACATAGTTGTGGATAAGCAAGACAGTAAAGAAAACATGGTGCTACGACGAGTGACATGTTTATATGTGCGCTGGAAGATCCAGTTTCTACTGCCACTCACACTGCAAATGTTTTCTTTTTACATTTTAGTTCAGTAAATGTGCTTCTCTTCATTAAATAAACTATGAAACAATTTAAATAGCAAATACCTTGATGAAAGTGACGTGAGTGTGTCTTGATGGTACCATAGGAAATCTCTTCACCGTTTATGTTCTCTAGCCACAATTCTCGTCTTTTTAAAAAATTTTTTATAATTCCCTTGTTTGAGCTCTTGATGAGTCATTTCCAGAGGAACAGTGAAGAAACTAATCATTTTATCCTTTTCAGAGCATCTAGAACAACCAAATACACAACAAAACCTGCCCATGTTTCTCAAATGCTGCTGAAGTCAATGACATAGTGTTGCCCGGTGTCATGGCGGCGTAGGTACCGTTGCCATGGGGGATACGTGACCGTGCAAAGCCTCTATTAGCTGCAGTTAGTCCGTGTGTTGCCATAGTGACCACGGTTTAGCGCTCTAATCTAATCTATTTGTTTATTTTTTACATTTGAGTGTGACTATAGTGAAAAGTAATAATATGAATGTTAATGTCAATTCTAAACCAAAACACACATCATAGCCTGTCAAACTGTTACGTAAGAATCCCGATGGAGGAAACAAGTAAGAAAAGAAAGCCGTTTTTCATCCCTTGTTATTAATTTATTAAAAGTTAACATGTAATTATAATGTGATGACTACAAAACAATTCATAAATCTGCACCCAAAAATGTGAACAAATCAACATCTTTAATGGAAACATTGACTCTTGAAGACATACTGAGAAATTTCTGAAGAGGCCCAAGTGGAAACTTTGGGCATTCTACGTACAAACATGTGAAATTGAAACTCATCAGTGACTACATTTGGAATATGTCAAAGGCTTTAGTTGGAGTTGGAGAATATTAGCCAAAACTATATGTGCGGTCAAAGAGTTGAGGAAATAAAATTGAAACTATACAAGGATGCTTGGATTGGTAAAATGTAAAAACAAAACAAAAAAACCCAGAAAAAACTGTACCATGTTCAGCTGCTCAGCTTACATATCTGTGTCTTTAATACTGGATATATTGAAATTTAATATTGATATTCACAAATGTTTTATTATTTCTCAATAGGAATGTAACAATAACCAAAATATCGTGATATCATATCGTGAAAGTTCTCACAGTAATATCGTGGACCATCAAAATATATTCGAATTACAAGTGTCTTTGCTTAAATTAAGAGTTAATGATGCAGCAACTGCTAAAAAAAAAAAAAATACAGAGAACTACATAGACCATGATCCTTTGCTTCAGTTCAGTGCAGACTACAAGAAGAAATAACAGTTCTAACACTTTTAAGTCTTAGTTCTTTGGGTTAAGTCTTATCAAGGCATTTTAAGAGGAAAAAGTAGCATATTCACAATTTTGTTATCTCCACAAAGTATCGCAATAAATATCGTATTGTGAGATGTATATCGTGAATTGTCGCACCGAGAGATTTGGATATTGTTACATCCCTACTCGTGAGCCTCCCTGCCATATCATGAACTTCCCCATGATATCGCAATAAATATCGTACTTGGATATCATTACACTCCTATTTCTCAATTCCGTTTTTTCTAGGACTAGATTTGATTTGAAATTTGAGCCGTTAAAAGGTTTCCGGTGTTCACCAGTGTCTCAACTAGAAGTGGTTTTGTCTCCCCTTCTGCTCCCAGTGAATGAAAACTCATACCAGACAATTCTAGAACAATAATCAGACTAAATTTTGTCTTCCGATCTTAAAAAAGACATATTTAAGCAGTGTGGATTCCTTGGTTTCTTCCCCCCAACATGTCGCTGGCTCATGATTTGTAATGATTTGTTAAAACATTTAAAAATTATTTAAAAGTCTTGGAAAGAAAATCATAAGAAGAAACATTTTCTAGTGCTGGAGGAGAAAAAAACAATTAAAAAGCAAAGTGAAGAAGGAAACAGCAGGAGTAAGCAAGGATAGCGTCCGTACTCTTCAGAAGCAGGAGGTAGTTACTTGAAGTACTTGCGACAGCTTTATTTGTAGTAGTAGTTGTAGTAGTTGTAGTCGGAGGCTGTGTGGTTGTTGTTATGGGAGCACCAATAATAGTAGTTGTGGTACTTGTAGTTTGAGGGGGTGTAGTTGAAGTGGTCGGAGCACTGGTGGTAGTACTTGCAGTTGTTGTAGTACTTGTGGCAGCTGTAGTTGTTGAGGATGATCTCTCTGTAGTTGGTGTGGTTATAGTAACGGGAACACCGGTTGTAGTACTTGTAGTCGTTGTAGTACTTGTGGCAGCTGTAGTTGTTGGGGATTGTACAGTTGTAGTTGGAGGCTGTGTGGTTGTATTTTCGGGAGCACCAGTTGTAGTACTTGTAGTCGTTGTAGTACTTGTGGCAGCTGTAGTTGTTGGGGATTGTACAGTTGTAGTTGGAGGCAGTGTGGTTGTAGTTTCGGGAGCACCAGTTGTAGTACTTGTAGTCGTTGTAGTACTTGTGGCAGCTGTAGTTGTTGGGGATTGTACAGTTGTAGTTGGAGGCAGTGTGGTTGTAGTTATGGGAGCACCAGTTTTAGCCCCGGTTGTAGGTGTTGCAGCAGCTGTGGTGTTAGTCACTGTAGGAAGTGGAGTTGGCACTGCAAAAAGAGGATCAGACCAATTTGAAACACGTAACTCCATGGATCAACTCTAATTTACTCGTAATCTTTAATGTAGTCCTCATCGTGTTATCTATTTATAATTCCCTTCACATATTTCACTGTCAAAGGGTTTGTAGTAGAATTCTTTCATTAACTATTTATGTAAAGCAGTCGGTTACCACTTGTATATAGGTGAGTTTCATTGTTGACAAAAGCGCGCGTTGCATGCTGGGAATTATTTTGGTCGGCGGCAATAAACACTAATTCAACATGACGGACGGAGCGAGAAAGCACGTAAAGGGTATTGATCCCGGTTATTTATCCACTCTAACGGCAGAGGACCCAAGACCATTTGACCAGAAATTGGTCATAAGCATCGACGGACGACAAATCACCCTTTTTAACCCCTACAAAGCCTGGACCAAACCAAATTTCTGGTCGGAATCGCCAGCTACCTGGACAAATATTCACTTTGGTGATATCCACAATGACTTGGTGGAAACTCCTGGGCCATTCACAGCAGAAAAGATGAAAACCTCCAAGAGTCTCGATGTGTTGTTGAACTTGTTGGAGTCCATAGTTTGCTAGGATTTTCTACGTTTGCTCTGTGAATGTTTGAAAGACGTTTATTTCACCGTTAGTGGTTCTTTTCACTCGGAATATGAAAAAGACATTTTTCTTCTTCCGTGCTTCTATTTGTGCATCCGATAATGCAGCAGGAATTTACCATTACCGGGGATAAATATGCGAGGTTTAAGCACTGTGTTTAACCACTATCGTTTCTTGCCTCCGACCAAAATATTTCCCAACATGCAACGCGGGCTTTTAATAACAATGACGTCAGCTGAAACTCGCCTATATCACAGACTATTACATTTTTGGAGTCTGTTTCAATTCAGTTACATTTCAAATAAATATTTTTTTTATATAGCTGAACAAAAATGAAACCACACATTGCAGAAAACTTGCTACAGTGGTTTGTGTTGTCCTCATAGACTGTAAATGGACATAGTTAACCTGCAAACTGCCGTGTTCCAAACAGGAAGTGAGCATGTGTGCGCTTCCTGCTCCATCCACACCAGCTCCAATTCACTTTGTATTGAGAAAATGTCGCCCTCTCTGTCAGGCTCCTCATTTTGGTCTTACAAAGTTTGTATTAACCCGTTCTGCATGATCCTGGTGTTTTTATTTCGCGATTTTGTCCTTAAATCATTTCCTATTCGTAATATGGACCCATAACTGCCAACCTCATGAGCTTCATTTGGCTGGAGCGCTGGACAATCCATGTATCATTCGTTTTTCAAAATAAAACCAAAAAATAAGAAAATGAAAAAAAAAAAACAAAACAAAACAAAAAAACAGATAACGATTTGTTTTTTCACTTTTCGATTTTGTGTTTAAATGAAAAATGGAAAAAAAAACCCAAAAACAAATAACGGCCGTTTCCCGTTTCGTAACTTTAACTACGATGCAAGAGTGGAGACTGACTGCTTTCAAAATGAACCTGTTATTTTTGTATTGCACTGCAAAAAACAAACTCTAGTCAAGTAAAGATGACTTGAATTAAGTAAGTTGTATCATGATTTGACTAAATTTCACTTGACAAGTAAAATTATCTGCTAATGTAATACATTTTTTGTACTTAAAATATGAAAATACATCTGGCTGCACTTAAAATAAGGAAAACAACAAATTTTTGCACTTAAAATAAGAAACAAAATCAAATGTTGCTTGAATTAAGAAAAACACAATTATTCCATTGGTAGAAAATTTTACTTGTCAATGTTGAATCTACTCCAATAAAGTCAAATGTTCTTAATTTAAATCTTTTTATTTGACCTAGATATTACTTTTTGCCATGTATGACTTATTCCACACTGCAAAAATTCTCTACAAATTCTAAGATGACTTAAATAAAGAAAGTTTCATCATGATTTCAGTAAATTTCACTTGACAAGTAAAATAATCTGCCAATGGAACAAGACTTTTTCTACTTAACATCTGAAAATACATCTTGCTACACTTAAGATATGAAAAAAAAAACAACAACAACAACAACAACTATTTGCACTTAAAAAAAGAAACTATATCTGTTGTTGCTTGAATTAAGAAAAACACACACTTGTTCCATTGGTAGATCAATTTACTTCAACTTGAATCTACTTAAATTAAGATTATTTGACTTTACTTAAGTCATTTTAACTTACCTACATATTATAATTTGCAGTGTATTGTGTTCACGTTATACATAAACATCCCCAGTTCCTCATTATAATTAGACATGTTAATAATTACATGTTTTATGGGGTTTACTGGAAGAGCTGCAGTGTCCATGCTACGAGCTTGACAAAATTATGGTAGAAAATTCACTAGAAAAAGAGTCTATGTCCAGTGAAAAGCTTTAGCATCATTAAAATTGATTGTATAAGTTAGAAAGCAGCGTTTGGGTCCATTCAGCGTTCACCTGTATTTAAATATTATATCGAGCAATTTTTTTCATCTCTGTTGTTGTTTCCTCATTAAAAACAGACCTGGAGTTGTGTTTTTTTTTTCATTCTCACATGTTTAACACACAAACCCTGCGCATTTAGGCTGAGCTCTTCTCTCACACTGAAAACATTTTACCTTGTGATGTCATGTGGTGATACATGAAGTGCTCCACTGTGTTTTTAAACTCTGTACACCTTCACTAGAATCATTTGGACAATTTCAGGCACTGGAATTGCCGATCTCGACTAAACTAAATGTAAAAGTAGCTGTTCACTTCCACTCCATGACATCATGAGGTGGAAGAGAGCCTTTTAAGCTTTGGAGATGTAGACAGACTAAAAATTAAAAGGTTACTCGGACATTTTGAATGAAACAAAACACAAATCCAGGTCTGTTTTTGATGAGGTAACAGCGTTCTACCACAGCTCAAAGCTCACAAGTGGCACTTTTGGCGTAATACACGACCTTTAACATTAAATCCACAAAAATGTACAAAATAATAATTAAAGCTGAATAGTGTTTACCTTGTGTCAGTGCCAAGAGAAATATCAAGCGAGTTGTTATTTCCATTGTGCTAAACGTGCGGTGGATTCTCAGTCCCTCTTCACCTGTTTCATGCAGATTGTAGTAAATGGACGGCAGAGTCAGGAGGATATAACCTGAAAAACCGGTCAGTGGTCCAATGTCAATGTTGCCAAAATATGTCCTGTCAAAAGCAGACACCCGGGTATTTATAATCACGCTTTATTGATATAAAAATTAATCAGTCGCCAGTAACCTCCAGTGTTCCTGATCCGGTCCAAGGTCCCCAGTGAATAATCAAGGTCATGCCATGTTTTATTTATGACAGATGCTATTTACACCCGGGTGTATTTAGAGTGGCACAGAGATGGGCACCCGGGTGTTCCTAGACAAAAATGCTATTTACACCCAGGGTATTTATTAACAATAAATAAATAAAATAAATCGCTGACAGTAATATTTGATGTTTTTTTTACTCAAAATTATGCAGAATCATCGATCAATCATTCACAGTCTGCACCTAATGGTTTAGTCCTGGTTAAATCTTGTTTTAGTCCTGTTTTAATCCTGGTTTAGACTTGGTTTTAGTCCTGATTTTAGTCCTGGTTTAAAACTGGTTTTAGTTCTGGTTTAGTTCTGATTTAGTCCTGGTTTAACTTCTGGTTTAGTCCTGGTCTTAGTTCTGGTTTTAGTTCTGGTCGATGCACTGTACAGGAGAACACGCGGTGTACGGGAGGAAATGTGGAGCACGGGAGCGGGAGGAGACGCATACGGTCTATGGATCCACGTAGCGTACGCTAGAAGTGGTAACGCCAAGGTAAGGGGCCTCTATTGGTTCACGGGGCCCTACTCAATATGCGTACTGTGCGTATTGGGTGAACCGGTACTGACACTATGTCATGCAGTGTGACAGCGTGGGGCCATGTGAAAAAATCCACAACTAGAAAAGCAGTCAGAGAGCGCAGACCTCCGCCAAGGACTACCCCCATTTTTTATATAAATTGCGATAAAATCAGTCTTCTGGATCAGATCCGGATCAGCCTTTGGAATATGAAAGAGGATCCCATTGTCCATCCCTGAGAATTTCATGGGGTTTGGTCAATAATTAACCGAGATATTGAGAAACAAAATTTTTGGCCCCATTTACCACAATGTTAACAAAAATTTCAAAGTGATCCAGAATCCAGGATTTCTTCCAGATCACCCCCAAAATGAAATCACTTCTTCCTTTTCACATTTCCAACAAATCCTGAAAATTTCATCAAAATCGGTCCAAAACTTTTTGAGTTATGTTGCTAACAAACAAACAAACAAACAAACAAACAGACAAACGCCAGTAAAAACATAACCTCCTTGGCGGAGGTAATAACCAAGTGGTTTGGAAAGGCTGGACTGCTGCGTGATGAAGAGGACAGCACACGAGCAAGGGGGCATTTGCCTGGAGACGAAAGTGACACAGGAGCCGACGTAAATAAAATGATTGTACATGAGTGAAATGAGTGAGATGCGCTGAATCTGCACATGTACGATCTGCACATGAATGACCTCTGTAAAGTTTATCATGAACCATCTCCAGAACAGACTCACCACTGTCTGATAGAAGCTCCACATCAGGCACAGAGCGAACAGTTTCTTTCGGCGGGTATTTTATACAGATTAGTCTTGTGGCTTTAGGTTTCGTTTTTGTGCGCAAAGCTGCATTAAATACATCGTTCTGTAGTAATTATGGTGCTTACGAGGGCTAAATTCTTACATTTGAACTACTTTTAATGTTACCATTCTCTTACTGGAGGCTGAACTTGAACTGCTGAATAAACAGATCAACTATCATAACCGCTAGCTATACATCGCACAAGCTAAATAAACTGTCCATGATGCTGTGATGCTTCAACTTAATTACCCAAATCGTAATGGTCGGACAGACATTGCAAATATATTTTGTAGCAACACTGACTTACTTTTTACCTTACCTTACCCTACCTTCGTTTTAAATTGTATTTCTTTGGATTGTCAAATCCAGCTTCCTGCACTTTTCACCGGAAATGACGTAAGCGGACACGTCACCATTCCCTTTTTTCTTAAGACGGGTGTAAATAGAAGAATCGTGTCCATTGAACTATTAACACCCAGGGTGCAAATAGACACTCTGTTTATTTATTTTATTTTATTTTTTCTTTTGAACTGTGGACATGGTGTTGTTGAGATGTAGAAATAGGGCTTCTGAGTAACTGAAGGTATCAGTGAAGGTTTGGTTGAGCTGAGCTACGTGAGGCGGGTGAGGTTGAGCCGTGGTCTTGCTTCGAAACCGCAGTCAGTCATATAAACTCCATGTAGTAGTTTCTTTAAATATGTTTTTCTACCACATAATAGATTATTCAGGTCACTACTTTTTAGTCCTGAGTTCAAATGTGTTGCTCTTACCATAAAAAAGTACACAATTTGGCTTTTCTGCCAGTCATTTAATGCTAGAAATGACACTGACATTAACAATTCATTGGAGACCTTTGAACAGATCAGGAACACTTTTGGTTACTGATTATTAAGGAAGCCCTGAACGACAAGAGGAAAACAAAAAAGATGCACGTTACTTGGGTTAATTTTCAAAGTGTTTTCTTTTTTTTTTTTTTTGCTGTTGGGAAAACACACACACAAGAGAAAGTTTTGAGTTGTTGGTGCAAAATGAAAAAAAAAAAAAAAAAAAAAGAACACTTAGAAAATCGAGCCTAAATGACATGCCTCTTTTTTTTCTCTTGCTGCTCAGGGCTTTCATAGGTAATTATATTTTCTTGTAAATCATTATGAAACCATACAAACATGATAACAAATATGTACACATGTCATATTTTGGCAACACTGGAAACAGTGGCTGGTTTTTCAGGTTATTTGACACTTGGAATGTGACTTGGAACCTCCCCCAGACTCTGCTGTACATTAACTGTAATCAACTGAAACAGGTGAAGAGGGACTGAGAGTCGACCGCACGTTTAGCACAATGGAAATAACAACTCGCTTGATATTTCTCTTGGCACTGACACAAGGTAAACACTATTCAGCTTTAATTATTATTTTTTACATTTTTGTGGATTTAATGTTAAAGGTCGTGTATTACTCTGACTCTTGTGAGCTTTGAGCCGTGTTAGAACACTCCTGCCTCCTCAAAAACAGACCTGGAGTTGTGTTTTGTTTCATTCAACATGTTTGAATAACTTTTTATTTTTAGTCTGTCTACATCTCCAAAGCTCCAAATGCTCTGTTCCACCTCATGATGTCATGTAGTGGATGTTAATGGCTACGTTTTACATTTTGGTTAGAGATCAACAATTCCACGGCTGAAAATGTTCAAATGATTCTAGTGAAGGTGTACGGAGTTTAAAAACACAGTGGATGAAAGAAAATGCAATTTCAGGTCTGTTTTTGAGGAGGAAAACAAGATTATAACATAGATTTTTAAAATAATAATAATTGTGCAAAATGGGTCCTTTAAATACAGGTGAACGCTGAATGGACCCAAACGCTGCTTTCTAACTTATACAATAATTTTAATGATGCTGTAGCATCATTAAATGCATGTTTCACTGGACATAGACTCTTTTTCTAGTGAATTTTCCACCATAATTTCCACAAGCTCGTAGCATGGACACTGCAGCTCTTCCGATAAACCCCATAAAAGGTGCAATTGTTAACATGTCTAATTATAGTGAGGAACTGGGGATGTTTATGTATAAAGTTAACACAATACACTGCAAAAAACATGATCTAGGTGAGTTAAAATTACTCAAATTAAGAATATTCCACTTTATTTGAGTAGATTCAACTTGAAGTAAAATGCTCTACCAGTGAAACAAGTGTGTGCTTTTCTTAATTCATGTTTATGTATTTATTTTGAACATGTGTCTTCAGCATATATAATGCATCTTGACACTCAATGCACGGGGTCGAGTATCCACAAATAGTTGCTGAAACAGGCAGGTTTTAACGCCCTGAAATTTTACAGGCGAGTATGCAGGCGGGTAGTGAAACACGAGCAGGTCAGGTGAATCAATTGAAGGACGAACCGGAGAAAAATACTTGACATGCGTCCAGGACGTCCGTTGTCCTGGAAACAAGTGCCCAGCCCTGGTCTTTTCCAGGAACAATGGCAGACCAGGCTGAGAGTGTGAATTTACTGTTTTTACTTACATAAAACAAATCAGCATCGTTTACATGGACCCGCATAAATACACCACCGAGCTCCATCATGACTACGCCAAGCCTCTGGGCGGCACCTGGATTAGATTCAAACATTTATTTCATTACAGTTGTAAATATAACTCACAAATATGTTGAAAAATGTGCATTAGTGAGCGGGCTCGCCTCTCCACAGATCTGTTAGAGAAGTGGTGACCTCCGAGACTCATTGGTCTCTGGTCATGGATATGACACATCAGCTGTGTGTGCAAATGAAACACATGAAAAGTGTTTGCAGTAGAACAAATGCCACTGCTGCTCTGATGCTTCACCATCTTCATCTTCATCATCATCATCATCATCATCATCAGAGCAAAAGGGAAACACTCGTCACACTTTTGCCGCGTCAGCTCCTAAAACTCTATTTATCTCACTTTACACGCAAACGCCAAACTGGAGTTTTGCAGAATCTCCACTCCAGCCGGAGTTTTTAGATTTGTTTTCAGAGGAGAATTTGCAATTTGTAAAAGATGGACACAAACGAAGGGAAATGTCTCTGTTTTTAAAAAATACCCGTGTACGTGTAAACGGAACCTAATAATAATGATCAAGAATGCACAAAAGTTTATTGTTTATGATCATGTTAAAATAAGCAAAATGAGAATGAAGAATGTAAAGATTGATTTCTGTTTATGGTCGTACAAACTAATAATAATGTTAACCAATCATTTATGATCGTACAATTTAATAATAATGATAAAGAAGCACAAAATGTCTCATTTATGATCATATCAAAATAAAAGGTCATGTTAAAGAAAATGTTAAAGAAAAGCTTGTGTTTAGTTAATATTTGCGGTTTACTTGTGAAGACAATGGATCTAATCTTCTAGGCATTTCTGTAAGATTCGATTTTTATATTGTTTTTCGAAGTGCACCAAGTTAGATCGTTTAAGCTATTCCGTAAGTCTGCTCCACTTCTGGTAACACACATGCTCCCTTGTTGTGAAATAGGAAGTTTTCCAGTTCATCCACATTACAGTAACAGACCCAAAACTGAACTCAGAGACATACGTCAAAGTCTGACATTACTGACAACAGCTGGTGTCAAATCTCTAGAATTCAAATATATTTCATTCCCATTGTCGATGAACAGACTCCACAAACTCTAGGAACTTCAGCGTTATGGTGCAACATAAAACAATGAGTAATAAATAAATCATAAAAACTGAGTAAATACAAACAAAAAGTGAGGAGAGAGGCACTAGACATTAGGCTGACAGAAATTTAAAAGTTTCATTGTGTTCCAACCATAGACTGTATAAAGAAGTGACTAAGGGAGTGTCCAATGCTCCAGTCAAGTGAAGCTCATGAGGCTAGCAGGGTCCAAATTACAAATAGGAATTGATTTATGGACAAAATCACAAAATAAAAACACCAGGATCATGTCGAGTCGGTTAATACAAACTAAGGAGTAAATTAGAGTTGATCCATGAAGTTGTGTGTTTCAAATTGGTCTGATCCTCTTTTTCCTCATCTCCTACAGTTACAAATACTACAACCAGCACTCCGATCACTTCAACTACACCCCCTCAAACTACAAATACTACAACTACTACAATTGGTCCTACCATGGCTACAAACACAGTGCCTATAACTACAACTGCAGCTTCATCTCCTCCACCTACCAACACAACTGCTCCAAGTACTACAACTACTACAACTCCTCCACCTACCAACACAACTGCTACAAGTACTACAACTACTACAACTCCTCCACCTACCAACACAACTGCTACAAGTACTACAACTACTACAACTCCTCCACCTACCAACACAACTGCTACAAGTACTACAACTACTACAACTCCTCCACCTACCAACACAACTGCTCCAAGTACTACAACTACTACAACTCCTCCACCTACCAACACAACTGCTACAAGTACTACAACTACTACAACTCCTCCACCTACCAACACAACTGCTCCAAGTACTACAACTACTACAACTCCTCCACCTACCAACACAACTGCTCCAAGTACTACAACTACTACAACTCCTCCACCTACCAACACAACTGCTACAAGTACTACAACTACTACAACTCCTCCACCTACCAACACAACTGCTACAAGTACTACAACTACTACAACTCCTCCACCTACCAACACAACTGCTACAAGTACTACAACTACTACAACTCCTCCACCTACCAACACAACTGCTACAAGTACTACAACTACTACAACTCCTCCACCTACCAACACAACTGCTCCAAGTACTACAACTACTGCAACTCCTCCACCTACCAACACAACTGCTACAAGTACTACAACTACTACAACTCCTCCACCTACCAACACAACTGCTACAAGTACTACAACTCCTCCACCTACCAACACAACTGCTACAAGTACTACAACTACTACAACTCCTTTACCTACCAATACAACTGCTACAAGTACTACAACTACTACAACTCCTTTACCTACCAACACAACTGCTACAAGTACTACATCTACTACAACTCCTCCACCTACCAACACAACTGCTACAAGTACTACAACTACTACAACTCCTCCACCTACCAACACAACTGCTACAAGTACTACAACTACTACAACTCCTCCACCTACCAACACAACTGCTACAAGTACTACAACTACTACAACTCCTTTACCTACCAATACAACTGCTACAAGTACTACAACTACTACAACTCCTTTACCTACCAACACAACTGCTACAAGTACTACATCTACTACAACTCCTCCACCTACCAACACAACTGCTACAAGTACTACAACTACTACAACTCCTCCACCTACCAACACAACTGCTACAAGTACTACAACTACTACAACTCCTCCACCTACCAACACAACTGCTACAAGTACTACAACTACTACAACTCCTCCACCTATCAACACAACTGCTACAAGTACTACAACTACTACAACTCCTCCACCTATCAACACAACTGCTACAAGTACTACAACTACTACAACTCCTCCACCTACCAACACAACTGCTACAAGTACTACAACTACTACAACTCCTCCACCTACCAACACAACTGCTACAAGTACTACAACTACTACAACTCCTTTACCTACCACCGCAACTGCTACAAGTACTACAGCTACTACAACTCCAAAAACTACAACCTTCTCAACAACTACAGTTGCTACAAGTACAAGCGCAGCTACCACTCCAGAAATGACCTCAGCAACTCCAGGTACAAACATTAAAATGTAGTTCTTTTGTAGATGATATTCTTAAAAGGCCTGTATTCTATTTTCTTCCACATTTTAGAACAAAGTTTGCCGTGTCCCTGTACAGATACAGTCTATAAGCAGCTCTTGGGATCAAAATAAGTCTGTTGTAACTGTCTGCATCTAATTACAAAGCGTTTAATGTCCAAGTATCAGAAAAGTGCATAGTTAGCATGCTAGTTACTGTGATGGCAAAATTCTGTTCCAGCCTCTGAAAGTCAAGCAAAATCCTTATAAATTCATAGTTATTTAATAAGGATGCTTGGAATGCATGAGGTTAGTGAGCAATAACTTTAAACCACGGCAAACAGTTTTTCAAATTTTTTAAAGAAAATTGGGTACAGTGCTCCTAAGTATAAGTGTTTTAAAGGGTTTTGTTTGTTTTAATTTTATATGTGTATTCTTTATTTTATGAAGGTTTGACCTCACTGGCTTATCTTCAGATATCAGTAGACTCACAAGTCGAGCTCAGCAGGGAAACACTGACTAAAGTCATCGAACAGGTAAAACATTCTGTGTATACAAAACACCACCAAGAACTTGCCCCGAGCTGGATCAGTTTAAATGAGGTGTGAAATATTAACTGCTAGTCTTAAAGCTTAAAAGGGACAGTCCAGAATTTTGGACATAGGAGCTCATTTCCTATTAAACCTGAGTGTTGGAGACGTGTGGAGACACTTTTTAAAAATCTTCCATCCAGTCCTTGTATTTGCAGAGGTCGCTGGTGTTAGACTAGTGCCTGTCAATGGTCATAGATCTCCTGCCAATAAAAACAGTCTTACCCACTCTACATAGGGATAAGAATAATCAATAAATCAATTAACCGTACAATAACTTTTAAGGAGCTTGATAACTTTTCTGGCAGCGATAAATTCTATTTGCATGCTTGTTTTCTGTGCAAAGAGGGTGAATGTTAGAGGCTTCTGTCGCCCTCTGACTCTTCTCGTTTAACAAGTGTAATGACGCTTGAACCAACGTGCGCTGTGTTTATCGACGCAGTGGATGCGCGTGCAGCCTGAGTGCAGAAAACGCCGCTGTCTGTGCGGTGAACATGAAGCCGCAACACAAGCGCTGCTGTCAGTGACAAAACAGTTCATCGCCGAGCGCCAAAACAAGTCACGATGCCGAATTAACACAAGTGAGCGGGACACGTCTCAACGGCCACGTGCGTCAAATGCAGCGAGCGCGCAAACGACGAGAAGAAATGTCCCAAACCCCAACCCGAGCGACACAACTAGCCTCCGAGGAAGATATATATATATATTTTTTTGGTACTTTACTATGTCTTAAAGAAAAGTATTTCATCAGCACTCTAATCTTGCCTGGCATAACAAGTTTGCACACAGTATTTGGTCTTCCATGCTGTAGATGGTGAGCTGTGATACATAATATTCCTCAAGGTCTCAGTTGGTTAAATCTAGGGGTGTCAAATTATCGCGTTAATTGCGATGAATTAATTACAGTCATATTTAGCTCGTTATGTTTTTTAATCGTGTTAATCATATTTTTAATCTCTAACTTTACTGTTTCTGTGCGTGAGTTGCCTTATTAGAAAATCAGTTTTTATGTGTTGTTAGGAAACAGTCTCACTGTGCAGTCCTGCTCCGCTCGCTCCCGCAAACAATTGTAGACTAATTTTAATTCCCGTTCCCACCGCATTTGCGATAAACCTGCAGTCGTCTGATCTCTGAAAACATCGCGACACAAACACAGAACAGACTCACCTTCAGCATCAACATCCCTCTGTCAGAAAGAACACTCATATTCCACTGAGTCGTGTCCTTTAGTAGAAGCTGAACCGCATCAGCGCACAAGAGAGTTTTTTTTTTTTTCCTTTTCTCCGCTTAGTTTATGCAAATTAGTCATGCGTTTTTAAGTTTTGTTTCTGTGAGAGTTGCGCAAATCTGCATTAAACACATTATAATGTCAAACAGGCTGATGTGGCTCTAGAGTGGTGATGGTTTAAATGTTGTAAAGTTGAGTTTATTTATACAGATTAGTAATAGTAATAATGGTTCTACTTATATAAAAATGTTAATGATAGTATGAAAATAATGTAATAATGAATTCAAATGAAAATACCTCAAGTTGAGGCTCTTCTCAGCAATTTTTAGGTGAGATTAAAAAAAGAGATTAATTAGATTATTTAATTACAGATCATAATTAATTAATCTCTCAATTTTTTTTAATTGCTTGACGGGACTAGATAAATCCTCCTCATTATGATTTGTGAGCAGTAGGCTATTGTAAGACTAGGTTGAGTTTTAGAAGAGGCTACTGTCTAGCCTAGATTAATGTGTTTAGTCATTATTTCTTTGGAAAAAACACACAGTGAAATTTGACACTGCATGGTTTAAATGTATAGTTAATATTTCTTTAGTGTGCAGCCACAGACACACCCTGCACAGAGAGAGAGGCATGCTACTTTCAAAGGGTAGATACACAAATGAAAACAACTCAGTCATATCTGAAGCACTCTCCGAAACACAAGTGTGAATCATTTCATCACATCAAGCGTAAAACATCACTTGTAAATTTACAGTTTGAAGAATAACCCAATCCTTTAGTCAAGTAAGAGTACTGTTACTTCCAAAAAAAAAAAACATTTACTCAAGTAGGCGTAAAAGTGTTCTGCTAGAAAAGTGCAATTTATTAATTTAAGTTACTCAAGTAAATGTAACTGTACTAGAAAAGTACTCTGAAAAGTGCAATTTCTTTATTTAAGTTACTCAAATATAAATGTACTGCACACCTCCAATTTGAAGTATACCTTTTAACATCTTGAGGTTGTGAGAAAAGTTAAAGCTGAAACCTTTGTAGTGCTAAATGGAAATGTGGTGCTTGTTATGACCCAGCTCATTTGGGGGTGAGGGAAGTAACAAAAATAGCCAAGATGGAAAAATTGAATAAATTAAATAATGTTTAACTAACAGGAATGTAAAGGTAAATTAACAAAAAGACTAAAATATACAGAAAATAACCTAAACTAAGAAACAGAACAACAGAATAAACTGAGTTTTGTACCATGTTACGACCCGGGTGGATCAAACATATTAATGAGGACCAGTGTTGGGAAGTTTACTTTTAAAATGTAATCCCCTACAGTTTACAGATTACATACCCCAAAATGTAGTTTGTAACATAATCCATGAAGTTATTTAGAGTAACGTAATCTGAATACTTTGGATTACTTGGTTTGCTGTAGGGAAGCAAAGACTAGGATGGTTTAGTCCTGGTTTTAGACCTGGTTTTAGACCTGTTTTAGATCTGGTTTAGATCTAGTTTAGACCTGATTTTAGTCCTGGTTTTAGTCCTGGTTTAGACCTGGTTTAGTCCTGGTTTAGACCTGGTTTAGACCTGGTTTAGACCTGGTTTTAGTCCTGGTTTAGACCTGGTTTAGATCTAGTTTGGATCTAGTTTAGACCTGGTTTTAGTCCTGCTTTAGATCTAGTTTAGACCTGGTTTAGACCTGGTTTAGTCCTGGTTTTAGTCCTGGTTTAGCCCAAAATGTGAAAACAGGAAAATACCGCAGTGTAATCCATTTATTTCAACAAAGTAACTGTAATCCAATTACCACTCACTGAAACAGTAACTGTAACTGAATACAGTTACTCATCATTTGTACTCTGATTACATAACTCCAGTACATGTAATCTGTTACTCCTCAACACTGATGAGGACACAGGAGGCGAAAAGGTTACAAAAGTAAAAGATGTTTTTATTTTTAAGTTAATTTTAATTTACTTTAAAAACGCTAAAACCCCTCCCGTGCCCAGAACAAAGTAACAACTGAAAGGTGGACCTGGTGAACCGACCAAACAGAACAAAATAATGCGGCGCCAGGCCAACCCCGTACAGGGCCGTAGAAGCTGGTGCCCACGTCGCTAAAGGAAAAAAAGACGTCACCAAACTAACCTGACCAAACAAAAGGCGAAAACAGGACAGCTGGTCCCACCAGGTCAAACACAAAAGGCTAACAGCTAACAGGCTTGGTGCAGCCTGTGGCGAGCAGCCAAGACCAGGGAGAGCACATAGTGACCATCGTGTGCCCAGGTGTGGGGAGGGCGAGGTGGTGCGTAGTGAGCGCGCAGGAGCAAGAGCAAGAGAACGCGCCACTGATAGGCGGCCTATTTATACGCGGACCAACCACGCCCCAAAACAGACAATTAATCCACGCAATGGGATGCACAAAGGGGCGCCAGTACGTAACATACCACAAAAGGGGTCACACAGGCTTACACAAAACGAGTGGTAAAATTAAGGGACAAACACAAAACCAAAACACAAGTTCCCCAAATTAAACCACATAAGCCCACAAACAGAATCGAGTGACCAAATCAAAAAAAGGCAGAAAACAGAACTAAACTACATACACAAACACTAAATGGCAGACTGACCACCAAGGCCAGCAGCCTCGAACAGGTGCTGGTAATCTCCTTAAGTAGGGGGCGCTGGCTGCAGGTGAGGTGGGTGTAGACATGCCCCACCAATCACGGGCCAGGGCTCCCACAGCAGGAATCAGGAGAACTCAGCAAAGTCATTTAGAATACTCAAAACAAATTAGAACAAAAGGCCTGGGGCTGTAACAGTGCTTCATTTCATTGTTTTTACAGAGGAAGATCAATGTGTAGATAGCTTTAAGAACTCATCAGAGATCACATAGGTTAAACTTTTAGTTAAACAAATATAACTCACTCACCAGGAAATGATCTCAAATGACATGCGGTTTGTAGAATGATTAAACTGTTATTGTTCAATCAGGAAGTTGGTTAATAATAATTTAACCTTCTTATGACGTGTTTGGACAGATTACATATTTTCAGGTGGAGGGCCAGAGTTTATTTAAAGGTAATACATTACCAAAAAAAAAAGACAGGAAAAGAAAGGTTGGAGCTTTAAACCATTTTAGAATATTGTTTCATTCGCACATCTTTTATTATTAGTCTATCTACATCTCCAAAGTTCAAAATGCTCTGTTCCACCTTGTGATGTCATGTAGTTGTATTTTTTCATAACAGATACCTTTTACATTTTGTTTCCTAGAGATTGGCAATTCCAGTCATGAACTTTTTCAAATAATTCTAGGGAAGATGCATGGAGTTTAAAAACACAGTGGAGTATTTCCTGTACTGCCACATGACATCACAAATGTTTTCTATTTAAGAGAAGAACACTCAAGGGTTTGTGTATGAATGAAACAAAACACAATTCCAGGTATGTTTGAGGAAACAGTGAGTGTGTTTACATGCACATCAGTATCCCGGTTCTGTCAGTATTCAGGTTACTGTGTTTACATGTGCGCTGAGAAACCAGGACACTCATATCCCCGTGTACATGATCAAATGGAGTATCCCAGTTTCTTGACATAATCTTACAAATGCACAAGCGCAAAAATTAACTTAAATCAATTTAATAAACCAAGAAAAATACAAACTGTAAGCTCCTTTAGCGTCGGAAGCTCGGGAGGTTTAACCAGCGTGAGGAGCTGTGAGATCTCCCACAATTAAATCCCACATTAAAATCTTCTGCATAAATAAACTCAACTTTACAACATAACCAACAAACCATAACCACTATAGATCCACATCAGCCCATTTGATAATATAATTCAGCTTTCATCACATTTGTTTAAGTTTTACCAAAACGAAATTTAAGACCGCATCGCAAATTAGCATAAACAGTTAGCGACGATAAAATCAGATCGCTCCTTGTGCCGCTGATATGATCAGGTTCTTTTGGACTAAAGGACACGACTCAGTGTGTTATTTTCGTGACAGAGGAGGTGCTGATGATGGTGAGTCTGTTCTGTGTGTATCGTATAGGAGATGGTTCATGTTTTAGCTTTTCATTAATCATACGAGTGCAGGTTATACGAGTGCAGATTGTACGTGTGCAGGTTTAGCACAGCTCTTTATTTTACAGTTATTTCGCTCATGTGTGGTCACTTTATTTATGTTGGTCACTTTATTTATGTTGGTCATTTTATTTATGTTGGTCACTTTATTTATGTCGCTACTGTTGCAGTGAAAAGACTGAAAAGTGTTTGTCTTTTGGACACACGCGCACTCAACTTTATGTTGCAGTAACCAGGATACTGCGTTTACATGCCACAGTATCCCGGTTACTATCAGAATATACCAGCTACAGTAAACCGGTTTCTCATAACCAGGACACTGAAACTGGGATACTGTGTTAACACATGCACCATGAAGAAACTGGAATACTCAAAAAACCTGATCATAACCAGGTTACTGATGTGCATGTAAACACACTCATTATAAGATAGATCAGAACATAACTTTAACTCTATGACAGAGTTACTTTTCACTATTTGTTTAGGATAGGCTCCACAAACTTGCAATTTTTTATCTTATCTTGAATAATTGTACTTTCTAAAGCTATTGTGGAAAAAAAAAACTTTTACTTATTTAGGTGTCAACTCTTGTTCCAAGTTTTTGTTTCATGTGGAAAGGCCGTGTTACTATGAGATATTCATAATTAAAGAAGGGCAGAACATATATGCAATCTGACATTATATAAATTCCACCATAGAATTCTAATCTGTTCTCCAGTTCTGTTTTAAGACACAAGCATCTGAGAATATCGTAATATTGTATCGTCACTGTCAGTACTTAAATAGCACTAAAGAAAGAAAAGAGATCAATAGTGCAAATGGCAAATAAACTGAACTGAACCTGTTAAATTAGAGCACTTAAAATAAGAAATACGACACAACACAAGCCACTAACCACATGAATGCAATACCATTTTCCCCCATGTGTTTCAAACGCTCTCTATGCAGAAGGACTTATAACAATTGTCTTTTAACACTATAAAAATATGTGTATGTAATGTAATGATTTTATTTGTTCTCTTTCAGTTTTTCCAAGATAAACTGGGTGACGCCGATTATGATGTTGTAATAAAGCAAATTATAACAACAGTTATTCCATTTACAACAGAAGTCACTCCAACCACAACTGTTCCACTCACTTTGTCCACGAAAAACGGTACAGTGACAAATCAGAGCACCGCGGGAACAACAACAGAGAATGTCCCCTAAACTCCAGCTTCAGTTCCACTTGGGGATGCACCAATCCAGCTTTTTCAGTTCTGATACCGATATCAATACTTTGGCTTTTGGTAACTGTTGATACTGAAAAAGGGATTTTATTTCTATCAAAACACTATTCACTTGCTACAAAACTAATCCAACTTTTCTTATTTATTTCTTATGTTCAAACATTATAAAATGTTCTAGGTCAACATTTACCAGCAAATCATTTTATAACATCCAGTAAAAACCCCAACCAGGATATTGGCTGAACCGATATCATGGAACCGATTCCCTGGATTGGCACTGATATTCAAAAGCAGTATCGGTATCGGTATCAGAATTGGTACGCATCTCTAGTTCCATCTATAATATGGACATTTTCATCATCAAATTCTTCAACAAACAGTCGTATTTTGAAGCATATTTCAATCACTAAAGATCATTGTTCCCTTTAAAATGTGAAGAGAAAGTCAACTGAGTAATCTGACTGAACGTTTTATAGGAATATTGTTTTCCCGTATAAATGTGACACAAAGGCAATATAAAATTATTGTTCTGAAACAATAGTGGTCACTACTGCAGCATTAGTAGTGCAATTGTCTGTGCTTTGTCTAGACTTGATTTACATGTACACAAATAAGGATGCAGGTCCAGGCTGCAGATTGTGTCCATGCATCCTGTAAGTACAACAAAATAAAAGTCCATATGAGAGGAGAAAATGTGTCCATGTTTCAAGATATTTAAGCTTAAATAGGCTGGTATTGCTTTGCTGTTTTTATTTTTTCATCAACATTGTTTCTCTTGTGGATTAATAAAGTTTGTCTAAGATAATATATTGAAAATGTCTGTATGATTTTCATGTGTACTACTACTGTATGTACGTTTGTTTCTTTGAACGAAAAGAATAAATGACTAAATGTGAGATCTTGGAGGAAGTGGCTGGTATGTATCGTCATAGCCTTCTCTGGAAATCAATAAAGAAAATGAACATTTGATAAATTGAATGGTGACAAGGTTCTATCTCTGCAGTAAATCCTGACATCACTGCACAAAAAGAGCAGTTAGTTTAAAGTATTCTCAGTATCTATAGCAAAGAAATGTTAAAATGAAGTCAGCTGGACTTAATTTTAAGACATATCACTTTAGTCCACTTTGTTTAATTTGAACTTTTGTTGCTATGGACGCCTGCTTAAAGACTGAAGGACTATATCTCAAAGAACAGTTCTCTATCGTCTTAGTTGGTGTAGTTTGTTGCAAACTTTTCTTCACTTCTCTTTCAAATTTCACTAAACATATCTCAACTACAAAAGCATAGTACAATACAATATACACAAAAAATCATGTATTTGAATTAACTTTTTTCTAGAAAACTTATGTACATGATGAGGGTGTAATTTAAAGGTGCATTATATAATAGTGTTGCTTTTCTCCATGGAAAATGTTATTGCTTCACAGTATGGTACATTTCTGTCTTCATGGAGACAGGTCAGACCACATATTTTTGAGCTACCTGTAAGTGAATAAATGTAAAGCACAGCCGTTTAATGGAACATTCCAGGCAGAGCAATCATATCCATAGAAGGTGATGGACCCCCAACCAAAAAGTTGCATAGTGCACCTTTAATAAAATGCACAGCCACAGGGCATTTCTCAGCGGAAGTTATAACCAGCTTGACTGCTCTGGAGTTGAGCAGCAGCAGGAGGAGCGACTCAGAGGTAACAGGACACAGCCAGCGGAGGCGCACAAATAAACTCAGTGGAGCGCGGATAATCAGCAGCTATGGACCAAAAGGGGATTTTTATTTTATTATCTATCGTCTTTACAGCTTCACTCGCTCAAGGTAAATTTACAATACAGATTTATTGGAGCTCATTTGTGTCTAGTAATAACATTTAATGACAGGTTTAGAGTTCATGTCTTTGCATGAGGTTATTTCAAGTATTATTCAGTAGAATATCATAATGTAAGGCTAAGAAAATTATATTCAAATATATCAAATTACAATCCATAAAACAGACAAAAAAAAAGTCCAGTTCACAGAATTGAATTTGAATATTATTATTATTATTTTATATTTTATTTTGCACTATACAAATAATTATGCATTTATTGAGACTTTCGGTCTTAACAGAATAGAAATTACTCTTAAACATATTAAACACATATATAAAATAGGTATTATTTTATTTAATTTTAATGTAGTTTTGGTTCAGGTTAATGCATCTTATAATGTATTTTCAAATCTTTCTCAGCTCAAACAACTGGAATTCCAACAACAATCACCACAGTCGCTCAGCCTACAACTACAACTGCTCCAACCGCAACTACGGCTGCTCCAGCCGCAACTACGGCTGCTCCAGCCGCAACTACGGCTGCTCCAGCCGCAACTACGGCTGCTCCAGCCGCTACTACGGCTGCTCCAGCCGCTACTACGGCTGCTCCAGCCGCAACTACGGCTGCTCCAGCCGCTACTACGGCTGCTCCAGCCGCAACTACGGCTGCTCCAGCCGCTACTACGGCTGCTCCAGCCGCAACTACGGCTGCTCCAGCCGCAACTACGGCTGCTCCAGCCGCAACTACAGCTGCTCCAACCGCAACTACAGCTCCTCCAACTACTACTACAGCTACTCCAACCTCAACTACAGTTTCTTCAGTTACAACTACAGCTGTACAATCTACAACTAGTGTTTCTCAAGCCACAACCATAACTTCATCAAATACAACGACTGATACAAATACATCTACTGCAGGGGCCGTAACTACAGCCATTCTGACAACAACTACAGCTTCTCAACTTACCACAACACAACAGTCAAATACAACTACTTTGTCAAATATAACAACTTCAGCTGTTTTTCAAAATACAACTCTGGCCCCTCCTGTTACAACTACAGCTCCAAACACGTCCGCGGTTACAACCACAGCTTCAACTAATGTTTCTCAAGCCACAACCATGAATCCATCAAATCTAACTACTACCATTGCAAGTTTTGAAAATACCACCACTAACAACGCCTCGGCAATCACTACAGCCGAACCCAATGCAACATCAGCTTTAACCACTACACTCTCTATGATTACAACAACTACACCTAATATAACTACAAATGAAACTACAACCATTACAACAACTACCGCTAATATATCAAGTACCACAGGTGAAACTACAAATTCAACGACTACTATTGGTGTATCTACGGACAATGCAACAACTACTGGTATTTTGACCAATGCAACAACAGTGGAACCAGCTAACACAACTTTAAATAATATAACTACAGTTCCCCCAAATGTTGATTCTAATATCACAACCACACTCCCCTTGGCTACGACAATGCCAGCAAATGCAACTACTATTGTTAATCCAAATGCAACTACTACTGTTAATCCAAATGCAACTACTACTGTTAATCCAAATGCAACTACTACTGTTAATCCAAATGCAACTACTACTGTTAATCCAAATGCAACTACTACTGTTAATCCAAATGCAACTACTACTGTTAATCCAAATGCAACTACTACTGTTAATCCAAATGCAACTACTACTGTTAATCCAAATGCAACTACTACTGTTAATCCAAATGCAACTACTACTGTTAATCCAAATGCAACTACTATTGTTAATCCAAATGCAACTACTACTGTTAATCCAAATGCAACTACTACTGTTAATCCAAATGCAACTACTACTGTTAATCCAAATGCAACTACTATTGTTAATCCAAGTGCAACTACTATTGTTAATTCAAACGTGACTACAACAAATCTGTCTTCAGCACCTACAACAGCGCCCAATGGAACTGTATCAACAAATACAACCACACTCAGCAATACATCATCTACAGAAGCACCATTTGGAAACATGACCACTTCAGGCCCAGGAATTTTAACCACTCTAATGCCAACTGAACCACCGGGTATGTTTACATTTTTTATGGACTTGTTTATACAGCTTCATTTAAAAAAAAAAAAAAAATTATCACATCAGTTTTATTTTTTTTTTTTTTTTTATTTTTAAGAGAACGTGTGTCACATAGTGCAGGTGTTGTATAGAGTCACATGTGTTGTATAGAGCCTCACCCAAGCATTTGTTTATTTTTACATTGTGGTCACATGCAGCCATATTCTGTTACAGCAATAAGCAAGAAAAAGATAAAGTTTCTTCTGAGTTAACAATTCTGGTGGGAAGGAGGTCTGAAAACCTGCTTGTCTCCATGGAGATGATGGACAATTTTTGACTTGGATGTTCCATATTAGGGCATTAAATGTATTTATTTTATTTTTTTTATTCTTTTATTGAGAGAAGAGAAAACACCTCTTGCTGTAAGTGGTGTGTCTCTGCACAGAACTGACCTGTAACATGGCCTGGTGGCATCAATGCTTGTTTACATGGAGATAAATAAGTTTAATTTTAATGCCATATTGTAGAAAATTCCATGCAACCCAGTAACATGTCCAAGGAGGCAAGTTATTAACTTTAATAATTAACTATTGTAATAAAAAAATACCTTTGCTACTATTACCAGGCTACAAGTGCAATTAGATTAGATTTCTCTTGTGCCTACATTCATTAATAATAAAAAAGGTAATGATTTTTTTTCTTTTAAATATCATTATTATTTATTTATTTGTTTTTTAATTCCTGGTACTAGCATGTTTACATATTGCTGTTCTAATGCTTTATTTGTTTTTGTTTCCAATAGTGGAGCCTTCATTCGCATTTCTACAAATGACAATGGCGTCATCTAGTACTGTCAGCAATGAAACACTGATCAAAGCCATCACACAGGTAACAAATCTGAACATATTCATTTGACTACAATGTTACAACACCTGACAATCATATAAAATGTTCTTGTTTTTATTTACAGTTTGTCAGAAACAGACTGGTGGGTACTGATCCTATTGTTACAGTGAAAAGCATTCGGAAAGTGAGTGGGACTCCATAGAGGATTTGGACAAACTTTGCAGTGCACTGATTATTTCTCAATTGTAATTTTGTGAAAATAACTCAATGAGTGGACTATGACTCAGCATTTAGCTTTGTTGTGATTACGTCCAAGTTCCTCTGCTTTGAGTATCATATTACGCAGTATTTGCACAAACACAATAGGAACCAAATTCAAAATGACCAGCTATAACTGCAATGGAATACAGGGGAATTTACCATCGCTATTTAAGAGTACACAAAAGGAGCTCAGCCGTGACCACCCACCCCCTAGGTCTGGGGGAAAAAAAAAAAGGGACAGTCTTGTTCAAGGCTAATTGATTTTGTGGTGACTAATGGCCACAAGACCTACAATTTGATTTAAAATCAAATTAACAAAACATTTTGCAGAACCTTGTGTTTTAAATGTGCTTTGTGTAACTTTGCTAGTGCAAGGCTGGCCACTTGCTTGCCTCTGTGGAATCTTATTGTTTGGCTGGAATGTTCCACAGTATGGCATTAAGCTTTTCTATCTCCATGGAGACAAAAATGTAATGCCAGCGAGCCATGTTTTGGACCAAATTTGAAGAAGTTTTTCTAAGTGTTTTGGAGAAATAACATTGCCTATAATTAAATAAATGCAAGACAGTTTAGATAAGCTTAATGACATACTGTGGAAAATTCCAAAGCAAAACTATGCAATTTCTATGAAGGCAAGAAGGTAGTGGACCCAGAACCTGAAAGTTACACAGTGGACCTTTAAATGTCCTTTTTGGACTTAAAACAACTGCGTAATAGTCTCCACGATGTCTTTGAAAACTTACTTCCAGAGCTGGAGCACTGCGCTCACTGCTCCACAGGACAAACTAAATCTGATTAAATGAAAACAATCATGAGATATGATATGTGTATATTTTTTGATGATCTTTTAGTAAACATTTTCAGAAATCATATAGACTGGAAGGTTTGGTTTGATATATTACAGTTACAAACAGATTTTAAAGTAAATAGTACTTTCCCATATTATACATAGACGCTACTCAGGGGTCTCCAACCTGTAGGTCTCCACCTCCTTCCAAGCAGCTCGCCAAGGGATTTCATATTGTGCTGCATATTTAAAATGTGATTAATCAAATACCTATTACCACTGTAAATATTTCATTGTGATACCTAACTCTGTGCATGGATAAATGGAAAAAGTTGTATGTTTTATACACGTCTAACTGTTCTCATCTAAGGCCGTGGATTTTATTTTATTTTTCCTCAATTTCGTTCAACTGCTAAAAGTAAAGCTCTATGGTGTTTTCGTTTTGTAAAGCAGCTCACCGGAAGAAAAATGTTGGAGGCCCCTGTACAAAAACATAAGACACTGAAAAATATGTATAATTTCTTGACATTTTTCTTTTTCTTTTTTCCTTTTGAAAGTAGAGTAGTTTTGATTCGTGCATTGTACCTCTCAAGTTTACTTTATGGACATAAAAATCATTTCAACTAAATGTATTCTGACAGACTAAACATTAAAATGCACAATATCTGCTATACAGTAATAAACATGTATGTTTATTTAACTGAAAATCTGAAGGCACAAGGTCAAAGGTTAAACTCACAGTGGTAAGAGTAGAGCCCACACCAGCATTAAGTAAAAATATTGTTACATTAAATTATATTCTTCAAGTACAAGGAAAAGTTGAAAAAAATATTGTGGTATAAGAGAGGGCATTCAAAATGTAATTCAAATCTCAGTCAAATGTATTTGTACATTTGTGTGTATTCGATGTAGCGCAACTCAATAAATCTGAATATGTAAACATAGCCATCATTCTGGGCATTGGTTGTACCAAGCATACTACCGCGCTGCACGCTCTTCTGACGTACAAAAAATGTGGAAAAAGTGAAACAGCAATAACCATATCTTATGAATTACACCAACATGATATCAAATACCAGCAACTGAGTGGACGGGACTTGAAGGACAACAAGAGTGGCTATTCTGAAGCTGATCTGATCTTTGTTATAAATGGAAAAAAATATGAAAAACTCCATTAAAAAAACATATTGATGTTTAAACGAGGATTCATATGGGTGAATAAAAGTGACAAGGTAATAATCAGATAATCCCCATTAGATACTGAAGAGAGTAGGTATATTTGAATTTCTCCACATTTATTCCCAACATCTGATAAAAAAGAATTCTATCAGACCCCTGGCCATGTAAAATATAAAAAGCTATAATCTTAAGTTAAATCAACCACTATATACCAATCCAACAAATGATAATAATCTTCACCCATTTTCAACAGGCCCTTCATAGGCATTCTGCCAGGACTTGGTGCCCTATTCAGCTTTGAAATGGGAATAACAGGACCAACTGAATGTCGTATTTACTGTTTATTAGACAATATCTCAACAGCAATCAGCAGCAGCTTTACTTCTCTTTATATTTACCAAAACTAAATCAGATTTTAATCTGTGGCATGTTATTACTATTAATTAGAGTCTCTGCTTTACAGACAACCCAGAAATTTGTCTGTACTTCAAGAATCAGAAACCACTTCCCTTTAAATTGGGGGTTATTTTAGTCATACGTTTTATGACAATCCAACGGAGTGATGCTTGTTTACTCTCACATGAGCAAAACAAGACAATATTATCTCCCAAAAGAAGAGATGACATTAATAACCTGGTCAAAGAGCTGTGCACTTGATAAAGGCCTGACTTTCAGAATGTTATGTGGTTTGTGTCCAGTAGAGGGCTCTAGAGATCTTTTCTCAGTCAATATGTGTTTGGATCAGATTTCACAGCACTAAAAAATCCAATTCAAAAATGTATTAAATCAAAATAAGTGAAATCCTATCTAGTTAAATATAAAATAAATAATAAATATTAACCAAAAGCTAAGACAGAAATGTTAGTTTTAGGACGTAGGACTGGAAGGCTGTGAGTGTGTGTTTAAAGGTGAGTAGTTCTCAGTTATATTTACTTGAGTACTTGTAATTTGCAGAATAGATTTTTGACATCATACTTTTACTCAAACTTGAGTAAATGTTTTGATTACTCTATCCACTGTGAGTAAGTCTGCAAGTGACAAAAGCTTTATGATGACAACATAAAATGATTCAAACATTGGTGTTTCTTTTCACCGCTCCTTCAGATATGATTTCATCTTTCTGATTTTTGTGTCATAGGAATGACTAGGAGCCTGGTGCCCCTGTAAACTGGGTGATGGTAACACAGTATTGTAGCTACAGTTTTCCTGGATCATCAGCCTCTCAGACCACCACCAATCACTCATCCACACACCACAAACATTCTAACAAACGTGGGTGAAGCATCTTACCTAAAGACACAATAACAGTAGTCTATGCACTACACCTGTAACTGTCTCATATTAAAATACTAACCAGCCTCAACTCTGCTTAAATTTTGAAATCAGATGAGATCGAATGTAGAGAAGCTGGTCATTTCTCATCGTCCCATGTGGTTAAAACTTAACAATGAAAATGCAAATAAAGGAACATAAAAGTTCATATTCTGCATATTCTGTTTAGAAACACTAAGGACAATTATTAAAAGGGCATCTGGTGATATAAGTCAACTCTACTGTTGACTTACAACAATAAAGGGAAATTTTTGCTTTTACTTTTTTGTGTCTGACCTGGTAGGCAGTGAACAATGAATCCAACCTTAGCAACAGTGTTTTGTACACACGGTGGTATGTGACAAAGATGAGGGTTTGTCTCCGTATTGATTTTTGAGTGCAAAGGATTTAATAGGTGTGAAAGGTAGGTACGAGAAACTGCTGATATAAATGATATGATTTATGGATGCGTCCCAAGATGAATCAACTCTGAATATTTTACCAGTGCTTTATTAACTGTTCTGCTGTTCTACAGACTAGACCTTTGCAATCTTGATCAACAGATTTCAAAACAATAAGGCAATTTGAAATCTCACTGAAATTCTACCAGACCATCATGATAGACAAAATTATTCTCTGTCTAATGATACTGGCATTTTTTCAAGGGACACCCATACAAGGTAAAGTTTAAAATGCTTCATTTTCTTTACACATTTCATTTCCCTTACTTTGTCTTTCATAACTGTGAGTTAAAGGTGTTTCTTAATGAAGTTTTGAACATTAAGTATAATAATATCAGTATTAGTGCTACGGTGCAGTGGGTCTAAATTGTGTGCCACAATAACAGTGTACTGGATACTGCATATAGCTTTCATAATTATTAAATTAGATCAAATATTTTATTCATTTTATTTGTTCCTCTCTTAAAAATGCAGAGCACTTTAATGAATAATATATATACAGTAGCAAACATTTTCATCTTTTATATTACTTAAAAGTAATCCATTTGTAATGTGCTTGCTAATGTACACCAACTAACACAGAGGAAAATATAATGCACCAATGTTAAGAGCAACAAGAAGCTCTTGACAGTACTATATAACAACAGAAACTTATTCTTAAAACATATCGTACACTGGTTTTGAATGTATGACATTACAGTTTTATAATGGCCAATATAAAAGACTGATTGCTTGCATATATGGGTTATTAACACATAGATTACATTACTTTGATATGACCTTAAACGTTACTATAGTATTAGATGTTTCAATAAAATGTTTAATTAAAGTTAATTTATATCTAGAAAATGGCAAAGTAAATGTTTATTTTACTATGCATATTTTGTACTATTATTATATTTGATTATGTTACCAATATATCTTGAATACAAACTAAAACTAATGTTTTGTTTTTTACCAAAAACTTTGTCTTTGAAAGGTTTGTCCTCTTCTCTTGCTCATGTGAAATTAAAGATAAGATCCTTGGGTGAGGTCAGCAATGAAATGCTCACTGAAAATATTAAACAGGTACATACACTTTATAATAATACTATTAAAATGTATTTAATTATAGAATATATTATTTATTTATGTGTTAATTTGTGTTAATTTATGTGTTTATTTATACTTAAGTTTATTACTGTTGTTTCCTCTTGCAGTTTTTCAAAGACAAGCTTAGCAATACAGCAACAGTAAAAACAATTACATTCAAATCAACAAGCACTAAAACAGCCGCTCCAACAACTACAACAGTCACTCCAACAACAGCTGCTCCAACAACCACAACAGCTGCTCCAACAACCACAACAGCCACTCAAACTACAACCGCTGCTCCAACTACAACAGCAGCTCCAACCACTACAACAGCTACTCCAACAACAGCTGCTCCAACAACCACAACAGCCATTCAAACTACAACCGCTGCTCCAACTACAACAGCAGCTCCAACCACAACAACAGCTGGTCCAACTACCACAACAGTCACTCCAACTACAACAGCAGTTCCAACAACAAAAACAACAGCTGATCCACCAACAACAACTGCTGCCCCATCTACCACAACAGCTACTCCAACAACCACAACAGTCACTCCAACTACAACTGCTGCCCCAACCACAACAACAGCTGGTCCAACTACCACAACAGCGACTCCTACTACAACAGCAGCTCCAACCACTACAACAGGTGCTCCAACAACAACAGTAGTTCCAACAACTACAACAGCTGCTCCAACAACAACAACTGGTCCAGCAACTACAACTGCTGCCCCGACTACCACAACAGCTGCTCCAACTACCACACCATTGACTCCAACTACAACAGCAGCTCCAACTACTACAACCGCTGCCCCATCTACCACAACAGCTGCTCCAACAACCACAACAGCCACTCAAACTACAACCACTGCTCCAACTACAACAGCAGCTCCAACCACTACAACAGCTGCTCCAACTACAACAGCAGCTCCAACAACAACAACTGCTCCACCAACTACAACTGCTGCTCCGACTACCACACCATTGTTTCCAACTACAACAGCAGCTCCAACTACTACAACAGCTACTCCAACTACAACAGCAGCTCCAACCACTACAACAGTCACTCCAACTACAACAGCAGCTCCAACCACTACAACAGTCACTCCAACTACAACAGCAGCTCCAACAAGTACAACTGCTGCCCCGACTACCACAACAGCTGCTCCAACAACCACAACAGTCACTCTAACTACAACAGAAGCTCCAACAACAACAACTGCTCCACCAACTACAACTGCTGCTCCGACTACCACACCATTGTTTCCAACTACAACAGCAGCTCCAACTACTACAACCGCTGCCCCATCTACCACAACAGCTGCTCCAACTACAACAGCAGCTCCAACCACTACAACAGTCACTTTAACTACAACAGCACCTCCAACAACAACAACTGGACCACCAACTACAACTGCTGCCCCAACAACCACAACAGCAACTCCGACTACAACAGCAGCTCTAACCACTACAACAGGTGCTCCAACAACAACAGTAGCTCTGACAACAACTACAGCCGCTCCAACAATTACAACAGCTGCTCCAACAAGTACAACAGCTGCTCCCACAAGTACAACCGCTGCTCCAACAACCACAACAGTCACTCCAACAACAGAAGCTCCAACAACAACAGCTGTTCCAACCACTACAACAGTAGTTACAAAAACAATGACAGCTGCTCAAACTACAACAGCAGCTCCAACCACTACAACAGGTGCTTCAACTACAACAGCAGTTTCAACGACTACACCAGCATCTCCAACAACAACAGCTGCTCCAACTACCACAACAGTCACTCCAACAACAGCAGCTCCAACAACAACAGCTGGTCCAACAACTACAACGGCTGCCCCGGCTACCACAACAGCTGCTCCAAAAACCACAACAGTCACTCCAACTACAACAGCAGCTCCAACAACAACAGCTACTCCGACAACAACGACAGCCGCTCCAACTACAACAGCAGCTCCAACCACTACAACAGCTGGTCCAACTACCACAATAGTCACTCCAACTACAACAGCAGTTCCAACAACAACAACAACAACAACAACTAGTCCACCAATTACAACTGCTACCCCATCTACCACAACAGCTACTCCAACAACCACAACAGTCACTCCAACTACAACAGCAGCTCCGACAACAACAACAACTAGTCCACCAACTACAACTGCTGCCCCAACCACAACAACAGCTGGTCCAACTACCACAACAGTCACTCCAACTACAACAGCAGCTCCAACAACAACAACAACAACTGGTCCACCAACAACAACTGCTGCCCCATCCACCACAACAGCGACTCCTACTACAACAGCAGCTCCAACCACTACAACAGGTGCTCCAACAACAACAGTAGTTCCAACAACTACAACAGCTGCTCCAACAACAACAACTGGTCCAGCAACTACAACTGCTGCCCCGACTACCACAACAGCTGCTCCAACTACCACACCATTGACTCCAACTACAACAGCAGCTCCAACTACTACAACCGCTGCCCCATCTACCACAACAGCTGTTCCAACAACCACAACAGTCACTCCAACTACAACAGCAGCTCCAACCACTACAACAGCTGGTCCAACTACCACAATAGTCACTCCAACTACAACAGTAGTTCCAACAACAACAACAACAACAACTAGTCCATCAACTACAACTGCTGCCCCGACTACCACAACAGCTGCTCCAACAACCACAACAGTCACTCCAACAACAGCAGCTCCAACAACATCAGCTGTTCCAACCACTACAAAAGTAGTTACAAAAACAATGACAGCTGCTCAAACTACAACAGCAGCTCCAACCACTACAACAGGTGCTCCAACTACAACAGCAGCTCCAACCACTACAACAGCTGCTCCAACTACAACAAAAGTCACTCCAACTACAACAGCAGTTCCAACAACAACAACAACAACTAGTCCACCAACTACAACTGCTGCCCCATCTACCACAACAGCCGCTCAAACTACCACAACAGTCACTCCAACTACAACAGCACCTCCAACAACAACAACTGGTCCACCAATTACAACTGTTGCCCTGACTACCACAACAGCTGCTCCAACTACCACACCTTTAACTCCAACTACAATAGCAGCTCCAACTACTACAACCGCTGCCCCATCTACCACAAAAGCTGCTACAACAACCACAACAGCCACTCAATTTACAACAGCCGCTCCAACTACAACAGTAGCTCCAAAAACTACAACAGCTGCTCCAACAACCACAACAGTCACTTTAACTACAACAGCACCTCCAACAACAACAGCTGGTCCACCAACTACAACTGCTGCCCCAACAACCACAACAGCCACTCCGACTACAACAGCAGCTCCAACCACTACAACAGGTGCTCCAACAACAACAGTAGCTCTGACAACAACTACAGCCGCTCCAACAACTACAACAGCTGCTCCAACAAGTACAACTGCTGCCCCGACTACCACAACAACTGCTCCAACAACCACAACAGTCACTCCAACTACAACAGCAGCTCCAACAACAACAGCTGGTCCAACTACCACAACCGTCACTCCAACTACAACAGCAGCTCCAACAACAACAACTGCTCCACCAACTACAGTAGTTCCAACAACTGCAACAGCTGCTCCAACAACAACAACTGGTCCAGCAACTACAACTGCTGCCCCGACTACCACAACAGTTGCTCCAACTACCACACCATTGACTCCAACTACAACAGCAGCTCCAACTACTACAACAGCTGCCCCATCTACCACAACAGCTGCTCCAACAACCACAACAGCCACTCAAACTACAACCACTGCTCCAACTACAACAGCAGCTCCAACCACTACAACAGCTACTCCAACTACAACAGCAGCTCCAACCACTACAACAGCTGCTCCAACAACCACAACAGTCACTCCAACTACAACAGCAGCTCCAACCACTACAAAAGGTGCTCCAACGACAACAGCAGCTCCAACCACTACAACAGCTGGTCCAACTACCACAATAGTCACTCCAACTACAACAGCAGTTCCAACAACAACAACAACAACAACTAGTCCACCAACTACAACTGCTGCCCCGACTACCACAACAGCTGCTACAACAACCACAACAGTCACTCCAACAACAGCAGCTCCAACAACAACAACTGTTCCAACCACTACAACAGTAGTTACAAAAACAATGACAGCCGCTCCAACTACAACAGCAGCTCCAACCACTACAACAGCTGCTCCAACAACCACAACAGTCACTCCAACAACAGCAGCTCCAACAACAACAGATGTTCCAACCACTACAACAGTAGTTACAAAAACAATGACAGCTGCTCAAACTACAACAGCAGCTCCAACCACTACAACAGGTGCTCCTACTACAACAGCAGCTCCAACCACTACAACAGCTGGTCCAACTACAACAATAGTCACTCCAACTACAACAGCAGTTCCAACAACAACAACAACAACTAGTCCACCAACTACAACTGCTGCCCCATCTACCACAACAGCCGCTCCAACTACCACAACAGTCACTCCAACTACAACAGCACCTCCAACAACAACAACTGGTCCACCAATTACAACTGCTGCCCCGACTACCACAACAGCTGCTCCAACTACCACACCTTTGACTCCAACTACAACAGCAGCTCCAACTACTACAACCGCTGCCCCATCTACCACAACAGCTGCTACAACAACCACAACAGCCACTCAATTTACAACAGCCGCTCCAACTACAACAGTAGCTCCAAAAACTACAACAGCTGCTCCAACAACCACAACAGTCACTTTAACTACAACAGCACCTCCAACAACAACAGCTGGTCCACCAACTACAACTGCTGCCCCAACAACCACAACAGCCACTCCGACTACAACAGCAGCTCCAACCACTACAACAGGTGCTCCAACAACAACAGTAGCTCTGACAACAACTACAGCCGCTCCAACAACTACAACAGCTACTCCAACAAGTACAACTGCTGCCCCGACTACCACAACAACTGCTCCAACAACCACAACAGTCACTCCAACTACAACAGCAGCTCCAACAACAACAGCTGGTCCAACTACCACAACCGTCACTCCAACTACAACAGCAGCTCCAACAACAACAACTGCTCCACCAACTACAGTAGTTCCAACAACTACAACAGCTGCTCCAACAACAACAACTGGTCCAGCAACTACAACTGCTGCCCCGACTACCACAACAGCTGCTCCAACTACCACACCATTGACTCCAACTACAACAGCAGCTCGAACTACTACAACAGCTGCCCCATCTACCACAACAGCAGCTCCAACCACTACAACAGCTACTCCAACTACAACAGCAGCTCCAACTACAAAAGCAGCTCCAACAACAACAACAACTGGTCCACCAACTACAACTGCTGCCCCAACGACTACAACAGCTGCTCCAACAACCACAACAGTCACTCCAACTACAACAGCAGCTCCAACCACTACAACAGCTGGTCCAACTACCACAACAGTCACTCCAACTACAACAGCAGTTCCAAAAACAACAACAACAACAAGAACTGGTCCAGCAACTACAACTGCTGCCCCATCTACCACAACAGCGACTCCTACTACAACAGCAGCTCCAACCACTGCAACAGGTGGTCCAACAACAACAGTAGTTCCAACAACTACAACAGCTGCTCCGACAACAACTGGTCCAGCAACTACAACTGCTGCCCCGACTACCACAACAGCAGCTCCAACCACACCATTGACTCCAACTACAACAGCAGCTCCAACTACTACAACCGCTGCCCATCTACCACAGACATGCTCCAACAACACAAACAGCCACTCAAACTACAACCACTGCTCCAACTACAACAGCAGCTCAAACCACTACAACAGCTGCTCCAACTACAACAGCATCTCCAACAACCGCTGCTCCAACTACCACAGCAGTCACTCCAACTACAACAGCAGCTTCAACAACTACAACAGCTGCTCCAACAACCACAACAGTCACTTTAACTACAACAGCACCTCCAACAACAACAGCTGGTCCAACTACCACAACAGCCACTCAAACTACAACAGCTGCTCCAACTACAACAGCAGCTCCAACAACTACAACAGCTGCTCCAACAACCACAACAGTCACTTTAACTACAACAGCATCTCCAACAACAACAACTGGACCACCAACTACAACTGCTGCACCAACAACCACAACAGCCACTCCTACTACAACAGCAGCTCCAACCACTACAACAGGTGCTCCAACAACAACAGTAGCTCCGACAACAACTACAGCCGCTCCAACAACCACAACAGCCACTCAAACTACAACCACTGCTCCAACTACAACAGCAGCTCCAACCACTACAACAGCTGCTCCAACTACAACAGCAGCTCCAACCAGACTACAACAGCCATTCCAACTACACAACAGCACTCCAACTACAACCAACAACAACAACAACAACAACAACAAGAACTGGTCCACCAACTACAACTGCTGCCCCATCTACCACAACAGCGACTCCTATTACAACAGCAGCTCCAACCACTACAACAGGTGCTCCAACTACAACAGCAGTTTCAACAACTACAACAGCATCTCCAACAACAACAGCTGCTCCAGCTACCACAACAGTCACTCCAACAACAGCAGCTCCAACAACAATAGCTGGTCCAACTACCACAACCGTCACTCTAACTACAGCAGCAGCTCCAACAACAACAACTGCTCCACCAACGACAACTGCTGCTCCGACTACCACACCATTGTTTCCAACTACAACAGCAGCTCCAACTACTACAACCGCTGCCCCATCTACCACAACAGCTGCTCCAGTAACCACAACACCCACTCAAACTACAACAGCTGCTCCAACTACAACAGCAGCTCCAACAACAACAACAACAACTGGTCCACCAACTACAACTGCTGCCCCAATAACCACAACAGTCACTCCAACTACAACAGCAGTTCCAACAACAACAACAACAACAAGAACTGGTCCACCAACTACAACTGCTGCCCCATCTACCACAACAGCGACTCCTACTACAACAGCAGCTCCAACCACTACAACAGGTGCTCCAACAACAACAGTAGTTCCAACAACTACAACAGCATCTCCAACAACAGCTGTTCCAACTACCACAGCAGTTTCAACAACAACAACAACTTGTCCACCAACTACAACTGCTGCCCATCTACACAACAGCCGCTCAAACTACCACAACAGTCACTCCAACTACAACAGCACCTCCAACAACAACAAACTGGTCCACCAATAAACTGTTGCCCTGACTACCACAACAGCTGCTCCAACTACCACACCTTTAACTCCAACTACAATAGCAGCTCCAACTACTACAACCGCTGCCCCATCTACCACAAAGCTGCTACAACAACCACAACAGCCACTCAATTTACAACAGCGCTCCAACTACAACAGTAGCTCCAAAAACTACAACAGCTGCTCCAACAACCACAACAGTCACTTTAACTACAAACAGCACCTCCAACAACAACAGCTGGTCACCAACTACAACTGCTGCCCCAACAACCACAACAGCCACTCCGACTACAACAGCAGCTCCAACCACTACAACAGGTGCTCCAACAACAACAGTAGCTCTGACAACAACTACAGCCGCTCCAACAACAACAGCTTGCTCCAACAAGTACAACTGCTGCCCCGACTACCACAACAACTGCTCCAACAACCACAACAGTCACTTCCAACTACAACAGCAGCTCCACACAACAGCTTCCAACTACACAACCGTCACTCCAATACAACAGCAGCTCCAAACAACAACAACTGCTCCACCAACTACAGTAGTTCCAACAACTGCAACAGCTGCTCCAACAACAACAACTGGTCCAGCAACTACAACTGCTCCCCGACTACCACAACAGTTGCTCCAACTACCACACCATTGACTCCAACTACAACAGCAGCTCCAATACTACAACCAGCTGCCCATCTACCACAACAGCTGCTCCAACAACCACAACAGCCACTCAAACTACAACCACAACACAAAGCACTACATACAACAGCTCCAACCACTACAAAAGCTCCAACAACCACAACAGCCACTACAGCAGCTCCAACTACAAAACTCCAACGGACAACAGCAGCTCCAACCAACAACAGCTGGTCCAACTACCACAACAGCTCCAACTACAACAGCTCCAACAACAACAACAACAACAGCCACAACAGCTGCCAACAACCACAACAGTCACTCCAACAACAGCAGCTCCAACAACAACAACTTTCCAACACTACAACAGTAGTTACAAACAACAATGACAGCCGCTCCAACTACAACGCTCCAACCACTACAACAGCTGCTCCAACAACCACAACAGTCACTCCAACAACAGCAGCTCCAACAACAACCTTACAACAGCAGCTCCAACCATACAACAGGTGCTAACAGCAGCTCAACCACTAAACAGCTGGCCAACTACACATAGTCATCAACTACAACAGCAGTTCCAACAACAACAACAACAACTAGTCCACCAATACAACTGCTGCCCCATCACCACAACAGCCGCTCCAACACCACAACAGTCATCCAACTACAACAGACCTCCAACAACAACAAACTGGTCCACCAATTACAATGCTCCCCGACTACCACACAGCTGCTCCAACTACCACACCNCTGCTCCAACTACAACAGCATCTCACTCCACTACAAACAGCACATAAACACTGCTTCCAACAAACCACAACAGTCACTTTAACTACAAAGCACCTCCAACAACAACAGCTGTCCAACTACCACAACAGCCACTCAAACTACAACAGCTGCTCCAACTACAACAGCAGCTCCAACAACTACAACAGCTGCTCCAACAACCACAACAGTCACTTTAACTACAACAGCATCTCCAACAACAACAACTGGACCACCAACTACAACTGCTGCACCAACAACCACAACAGCCACTCCTACTACAACAGCAGCTCCAACCACTACAACAGGTGCTCCAACAACAACAGTAGCTCCGACAACAACTACAGCCGCTCCAACAACCACAACAGCCACTCAAACTACAACCACTGCTCCAACTACAACAGCAGCTCCAACCACTACAACAGCTGCTCCAACTACAACAGCAGCTCCAACCACTACAACAGCTGGTCCAACTACCACAACAGTCACTCCAACTACAACAGCAGTTCCAACAACAACAACAACAACAACAACAAGAACTGGTCCACCAACTACAACTGCTGCCCCATCTACCACAACAGCGACTCCTATTACAACAGCAGCTCCAACCACTACAACAGGTGCTCCAACTACAACAGCAGTTTCAACAACTACAACAGCATCTCCAACAACAACAGCTGCTCCAGCTACCACAACAGTCACTCCAACAACAGCAGCTCCAACAACAATAGCTGGTCCAACTACCACAACCGTCACTCTAACTACAGCAGCAGCTCCAACAACAACAACTGCTCCACCAACGACAACTGCTGCTCCGACTACCACACCATTGTTTCCAACTACAACAGCAGCTCCAACTACTACAACCGCTGCCCCATCTACCACAACAGCTGCTCCAGTAACCACAACACCCACTCAAACTACAACAGCTGCTCCAACTACAACAGCAGCTCCAACAACAACAACAACTGGCCACCAACTACAACTGCTGCCCAATAACCACAACAGTCACTCCAACTACAACAGCAGTTCCAACAACAACAACAACAACAAGAACTGGTCCACCAACTACAACTGCTGCCCCATCTACCACAACAGCGACTCCTACTACAACAGCAGCTCCAACCACTACAACAGGTGCTCCAACAACAACAGTAGTTCCAACAACTACAACAGCATCTCCAACAACAGCTGTTCCAACTACCACAGCAGTTTCAACAACAACAACAACTGGTCCACCAACTACAACTGCTGCTCCAACCACTACAACAGCTGCTCCAACAACCACAACAGTCACTCCAACTACAACAGCAGCTCCAACCACTACAACAGGTGCTCCAACTACAACAACAACTCCAACCACTACAACAGCTGGTCCAACTACCACAATAGTCACTTCAACTACCACAGCAGTTCCAACAACAACAACTAGTCCACCATCTACACCTGCTGCCCCATCTACCACAACAACCGCTCCAACTACCACAACAGTCACTCCAACTACAACAGCAAATCCAACAACAACAACTGGTCCACCAACTACAACTGCTGCCCCGACTACCACAACAGCTGCTCCAACTACCACACCATTGACTCCAACTACAACAGCAGCTCCAGCTACTACAACCGCTGCCCCATCTACCACAACAGCTGCTCCAGCAACCACAACACCCACTCAAACTACAACAGCTGCTCCAACTACAACAACAGCAGCTCCAACAACAACAACAACAACTGGTCCACCAACTACAACTGCTGCCCCAACGACTACAACAGTCACTCCAACTACAACAGCAGCTCCAACCACTACAACAGGTGCTCCAACAATAACAGCAGCTCCAACCAGTACAACAGGTGCTCCAACAACAACAGTAGTTCCAACAACTACAACAGCTGCTCCAACAACAACAACTGGTCCAGCAACTAAAACTGTTGCCCCGACTACCACAACAGCTGCTCCAACTACCACACCATTAACTCCAACTACAACAGCAGCTCCAACTACAACAACCACTGCCCTATCTACCACAACAGCTGCTACAACAATCACAACAGCCACTCAAACTACAACCACTGCTCCAACTACAACAGCAGCTCCAACCACTACAACAGCTGCTCCAACTACAACAGCAGCTCCAACTACTACAACAGCTGCTCCAACAACCACAACAGTCACTCCAACTACAACAGCAGCTTCAACAACAACAACAACTGGTCTACCAACTACAACTGCTGCCCCATCGACCACAACAGCCACTCCTACTACAACAGCAGCTCCAACCACTACAACAGCTGCTCCAACTACCACAGCAGTCACTCCAACTACAACAGCAGCTTCAACAACAACAATAACTGGTCCACCAACTACAACTGCTGCCCCAACCACTACAACAGCTGCTCCAACAACCACAACAGTCACTCCAACTACAACAGCAGCTCCAACCACTACAACAGGTGCTCCAACTAGAACAGCAGCTCCAACCACTACAACAGCTGGTCCAACTACCACAATAGTCACTCCAACTACAACAGCAGTTCCAACAACAACAACAACAACTAGTCCACCATCTACACCTGCTGCCCCATCTACCACAACAGCCGCTCCAACTACCACAACAGTCACTCCAACTACAACAGCACCTCCAACAACAAAAACTGGTCCACCAACTACAACTGCTGCTCCGACTACCACAACAGCTGCTCCAACTACCACACCATTGACTCCAACTACAACAGCAGCTCCAACTACTACAACCGCTGCCCCATCTACCACAACAGCTGCTACAACAACCACAACAGCCACTCAAACTACAACAGCTGCTCCAACTACAACAGCAGCTCCAACAACTACAACAGCTGCTCCAACAACCACAACAGTCACTTTAACTACAACAGCATCTCCAACAACAACAACTGGACCACCAACTACAACTGCTGCACCAACAACCACAACAGCCACTCCTACTACAACACCAGCTCCAACCACTACAACAGGTGCTCCAACAACAACAGTAGCTCCGACAACAACTACAGCCGCTCCAACAACTACAACAGCTGCTCCAACAAGTACAACCGCTGCCCCGACTACCACAACAGCTGCTCCAACAACCACAACATTCACTCCAACAACAGCAGCTCCAACAACAACAGCTGTTCCAACCACTACAACAGCAGTTTCAACAACTACCAGACTCCAACAACAACAGCCTCCCCAACAGTCACTCCAACTACAACAGCAGCTCCAACAACAACAGCTTTCGACAACAACGACAGCCGCTCCACTACAACAGCAGCTCCAACCACTACAACAGCTGGCTCCATCAACTACAAACGTTCTTCAACAACCACAACAGTCAGCTCCAACAACAAACTCCAAACAACAACAACTGTCAACAGTACCAACAACGTGCCCGACTACCACAACAGCTGCTCCAACAACCACAACAGAACTTCCGACAACAACGACAGCTGCTCAATCTACAACAGCAGCTCCAACCACTACAACAGGTGCTCCAACAACAACAGCAGCTCCAACCACTACAACAGCTGGTCCAACTACCACAATAGTCACTCCAACTACAACAGCAGTTCCAACAACAACAACAACAACAACTAGCCCACCAATTACAACTGCTACCCCATCTACCACAACAGCTGCTCCAACAACCACAACAGTCACTCCAACTACAACAGCAGCTCCAACCACTACAACAGGTGCTCCAACAACAACAGTAGTTCCAACAACTACATCAGCTGCTCCGACAACAACCACTGGTCCAGCAACTACAACTGCTGCCCCGACTACCACAACAGCTGCTCCAACTACCACACCATTGACTCCAACTACAACAGCAGCTGCAACTACTGCAACCGCTGCCCCATCTACCACAACAGCCGCTCCAACATCCACAACAGGCACTCAAACTACAACCGCTCCTCCAACTACAACAGCAGCTCCAACCACTACAACAGTTGCTCCAACTACAACAGCAGCTCCAACCACTACAACAGCTGCTCCAACTACCACAACAGTCACTCCAACTACAACAGCAGTTCCAACAACAACAACAACAACAAGAACTGGTCCACCAACTACAACTGCTGCCCCATCTACCACAACAGCGACTCCTATTACAACAGCAGCTCCAACCACTACAACAGGTGCTCCAACAACAACAGTAGTTCCAACAACTACAACAGCTGCTCCGACAACAACAACTGGTCCAGCAACTACAACTGCTGCCCTGACTACAACAGCTGCTCCAACTACCACACCATTGACTCCAACTACAATAGCAGCTCCAACTACTACAACCGCTGCCCCATCTACCACAACAGCTGCTCCAACAACCACAACAGCCACTCAAACTACAACCACTGCTCCAACTACAACAGCAGCTCAAACCACTACAACAGCTGCTCCAACAACCACAACAGTCACTTTAACTACAACAGCATCTCCAACAACAACAGCTGGTCCACCAACTACAACTGCTGCACCAACAACCACAACAGCCACTCCTACTACAACAGCAGCTCCAACCACTACAACAGCTGCTCCAATAACCACAACAGTCACTCCAACTACAACAGCAGTTCCAACAACAACAACAACAACAACTAGTCCACCAACTACAACCGCTGCCCCATCTACCACAACAGCTGCTCCAACAACCACAACAGTCACTCCAACAACAGCAGCTCCAACAACAACAGCTGTTCCAACCACTACAACAGTAGTTACAAAAACAATGACAGCTGCTCAAACTACAACAGCAGCTCCAACCACTACAACAGTCACTCCAACTGCAACAGCATTTTCAACAACTACAACAGCATCTCCAACAACAGCTGCTCCAACTACCACAACAGTCACTCCAACTACAACAGCAGCTCCAACAACAACAGCAGCTCCATCAACTACAACAGCTTCTTCAACAACCACAACAGTCACTCCAACAACAGTAGCTCCAACAACAACAGCTGGTCCAACAAGTACAACCACTGCCCCGACTACCACAACAGCTGCTCCAACAACCGCAACAGTCACTCTAACTACAACAGCGGCTCCAACCACTACAACAGTAGTTCCGAAAACAACGACAGCTGCTCCAACAAGTCCAACCCCTGCCCCGACTACCACAACAGCTGCTCCAACAACCACAACAGAACTTCCGACAACAACGACAGCTGCTCAATCTACAACAGCAGCTCCAACCACTACAACAGGTGCTCCAACAACAACAGCAGCTCCAACCACTACAACAGCTGGTCCAACTACCACAATAGTCACTCCAACTACAACAGCAGTTCCAACAACAACAACAACTAGTCCACCAATTACAACTGCTACCCCATCTACCACAACAGCTGCTCCAACAACCACAACAGTCACTCCAACTACAACAGCAGCTCCAACCACTACAACAGGTGCTCCAACAACAACAGTAGTTCCAACAACTACATCAGCTGCTCCGACAACAACCACTGGTCCAGCAACTACAACTGCTGCCCCGACTACCACAACAGCTGCTCCAACTACCACACCATTGACTCCAACTACAACAGCAGCTGCAACTACTGCAACCGCTGCCCCATCTACCACAACAGCTGCTCCAACATCCACAACAGCCACTCAAACTACAACCGCTCCTCCAACTACAACAGCAGCTCCAACCACTACAACAGCTGCTCCAACTACCACAACAGTACACACAACAGTCCAACTACAACAGCAGTTCCAACAACAACAACAACAACAAGAACTGGTCCACCAACTACAACTGCTGCCCCATCTACCACAACAGCGACTCCTATTACAACAGCAGCTCAACAACAACAGTAGTTCCAACAACTACAACAGCTGCTCCAACAACAACAACTGGTCCAGCAACTACAACTGCTGCCCTGACTACAACAGCTGCTCCAACTACCACACCATTGATTCCAACTACAATAGCAGCTCCAACTACTACAACCGCTGCCCCATCTACCACAACAGCTGCTCCAACAACCACAACAGCCACTCAAACTACAACCACTGCTCCAACTACAACAGCAGCTCAAACCACTACAACAGCTGTCACTCCAACTCCAACAACCACAAACAGTCATTTTAACTACAACAGCATCTCCAACAACAACAGCTGGTCCACCAACTACAACTGCTGCACCAACAACCACAACAGCCACTCCTACTACAACAGCAGCTCCAACCACTACAACAGCTGCTCCAATAACCACAACAGTCACTCCAACTACAACAGCAGCTCCAACCACTACAACAGGTACTCCAACTACAACAGCAGTTTCAACAACTACAACAGCATCTCCAACAACAACAGCTGCTCCAACTACCAAAACAGTCACTCCAACAACAGCAGCTCCAACAACAACAGCTGGTCCAACAAGTACAACCGCTGCCCCGACTACCACAACAGCTGCTCCAAAAACCACAACAGTCACTCCAACTACAACAGCAGCTCCAACAACAACAGCTTCTCCGACAACAACGACAGCCGCTCCAACTACAACAGTAGCTCCCACCACTACAACAGCTGGTCCAACTACCACAATAGTCACTCCAACTACAACAGCAGTTCCAACAACAACAACAACAACTAGTCCACCAACTACAACCGCTGCCCCATCTACCACAACAGCTGCTCCAACAACCACAACAGTCACTCCAACAACAGCAGCTCCAACAACAACAGCTGTTCCAACCACTACAACAGTAGTTACAAAAACAATGACAGCTGCTCAAACTATAACAGCAGCTCCAACCACTACAACAGTCACTCCAACTGCAACAGCATTTTCAACAACTACAACAGCATCTCCAACAACAGCTGCTCCAACTACCACAACAGTCACTCCAACTACAACAGCAGCTCCAACAACAACAGCAGCTCCATCAACTACAACAGCTTCTTCAACAACCACAACAGTCACTCCAACAACAGTAGCTCCAACAACAACAGCTGCTCCAACAAGTACAACCGCTGCCCCGACTACCACAACAGCTGCTCCAAAAACCACAACAGTCACTCCAACTACAACAGCAGCTCCAACAACAACAGCTATTCCGACAACAACGACAGCCGCTCCAACTACAACAGCAGCTCCAACCACTACAACAGCTGGTCCATCAACTACAACAGCTTCTTCAACAACCACAACAGTCACTCCAACAACAGTAGCTCCAACAACAACAGCTGGTCCAACAAGTACAACCGCTGCCCCGACTACCACAACAGCTGCTCCAACAACCGCAACAGTCACTCTAACTACAACAGCGGCTCCAACCACTACAACAGTAGTTCCGAAAACAACGACAGCTGCTCCAACTACAACAGCTGCTCCAACAAGTCCAACCGCTGCCCCGACTACCACAACAGCTGCTCCAACAACCACAACAGAACTTCCGACAACAACGACAGCTGCTCAATCTACAACAGCAGCTCCAACCACTACAACAGGTGCTCCAACAACAACAGCTGGTCAAACAACAACAGCAACTCCGACAACAACAACAGCCGCTCGAACTACAACAGCAGCTCCAACTACAACAGCTGCCCCAACTACTACAACAGCCTCTACATCAACCACACCAGCCATTCCATAAACTACAACAGCCACTCCAACAACTACATCCACCACCCCAACTACCACAACACCTGCTCCAACAACCACAAAAACAGTCACTCCAAGTGCAACATCGATTCTGACAACCACCACATTGGCTCTGACAACCACCGCAGAGGGTGATCAACAGCAGTTGCTCCTGTCACCTCCACAGTGGCTCTAACAACCACAACTGCAACAACAACAACTACAACAGCTGCTCTGACATCTACAACAGTAGCTCCAATAACAATAGGCACTCCAGCAACTGCAACAGCAGCTTCAACTACCACAATAGTTTCTTCAACAACCACAACAATCACTTGAAGTACAGCAGCAGCTTCAACTACTACAACAACTGGTCCAACAACAACAGCTGGTCCAACAATTATAATCACTTCCCCATCCACCACAACAGCCACTCCAACAACCACAACAGCCATTCCCTCAATTACAACAGCAGCTCCAAAAACAACAGCCACTCCAACAACTACAACCACCACCAAAACAGCTGCTCCATCAACCATAACAGTCTTTCCAAATACAACATCAGCTCCAACAACAACCGCTGCCCCATCTACCACATTTGCCCCTCCAACGACTATAACAGAAGCTCCAGCAACTACAACTGCTGCTCCAGCTACCACAATAATCACTCCAAGTACAACAGCAGCTTCAACTACTACAATAGCTGCTCCAACAACAACAGCAGCTCTGACAAAGACAGGCAGTCCAACAACTACAGGAGCAGCTCCAACAATAACAGTTGGTCCAGCAACTACAACTGCTCCCCCAACTACCACAGTAATCATTCCAACAACCACAACAGTTACTCCAACTACATCAGCGATTCCGACAACCCCCACTGTGATGCCCACAACTAGCAAAGTGGTTCAGACAACCACAACAGTCGCTCCAAGCACCACCACAGTTTTTCGGACAACCACAACTGCAACTACAACAGCAACTGTTCTGACTTCAACAACAGTCACTCCAACAACTACAACCGCCACCCCAACTACCACAACAGCTATTCCAACAACTACAACAGCTGGCATAAAAACCACAACGGCGACTCCAACATCAATGACAGCAGCGCCAACAACCACAAAAGTAACTGAAACAATTACAGCAGCCACTCCAACAACCACCACAGCTGCTCTAACAATCACAATTGTGACTCCAACACCCACAACAGCAATTACAAGAACCACCAAGCAGCTACCACAACCATGATAGTTTCTGAAACAACCACAACAGCTGGCTAGACAACCATGATAACTGCTTGCAGGACCACAACAGTGACTCCAACACTGACCACAGCTGTTCCAACAGCCACAGCAGCCGCTTCACCAACCACAACAATTGTTCTAACATCCACAACATCCGGTTTAAGAACCATTACAATTGCTCCAAGAAATACTTCCTCTTGAATGTCTCGTATCTATAACGATGATCTTAATAAAGTGTACAGTAAAGTAATATTTACATGGTATTCTCATGTAGTGAGCTTTGGTAGCGAAGTTTTCTTTATGGTTTTAGTGTGTCTCAGGGAACTTCTTACTGATCAAGTGTAGACAGTGTTGTTTGTTCATGGAAAAAGTGAAAACAATGTGACAAGGGCACTAGCAGCCCTATAGAAAATGATTACTGACTGTCAAAACTGCCTTACATTAAGTACAGAAACAACTGATGCAATGCATTTTATAAAGAGGTAAATCCATAATTTTTATTTATTTATTTATTTTATTTAACAGATTAGAAATGTTCATGCATTGTTTAGGCATTAACCTAGACCCAAAACCAACCTTTAAAAATCAATAAAATAAAATAGTGTCCCTCATCTCTGAGTCATCACATTTTTATCTAAATTCAATGATCTTGTCACACAATGTATTGTATATGAAGCTGGTCAAATGGTTCTAAAACAGTCCTGAGGCCTCTTGGATCAATATATAAATGTGCCCAAAAAATACATGATCAGAATATAAGGCAGTATCATTTTTGTCCATTTTTTGCTAAATATACAAAATCTAAAATCTAATATTTTATACAAATGTTTGCTTACTTCTAAAAATTATTAATGGACTAACAGCACCCCCTCTAAAATGTGACGATCTACCTCAAGAGGAGAATGCAGCATTCCAAAATGCTCTTATGCAAGATCTGCATTTTCATTTGTCTCAATGAGTCAATGGAAGACAATGCAAGTAGAAATTATTATTTGTACTGAATTTAAAACTCTTGCTCGCCTGACCAAAAAATGGTTTCTGGAATGGCAGGTCCATACTCATGAGTAATGCATGTGTATGTAGGTGTATTTTTATTGTAATGTATTGGCCGTTTTTGTGCATAATCTAAGGGTGGAATTATTTGTCTTTATTTAGTAAAATATGTTAGTATAATATGCAGATCAAATGTCATCTACACTGAGACTGAATTCTTGAGATTGTAACATTCACCTGCCCAGGGACTACAGGTCTAACACTGTGCACTGTTCCTGCACAAATAAAATCGTACCGTCCCAGTTAATTACTATTCTAGACCTGATTATTTAATCCTGTGTGGAACCAGTTTATCAGGGTTAGTTTCAACACAGTTGAAGGTGCAATACATGCCTTTTAACATCGCCTGCTGTTTACGAGAAATACATGATTGTAATTGGATTGGACACATAGCCCCGCAAAATATCTGCAGAAATGGACAAAATGGATGTCTGTTTGATAATATTGATTGGATTAACCTGGGTGACTCCTGCAAAAGGTAGATACTTCCTTTACTCAAATGCTTGTTGTCTCAAATGTCTGTTACTGCAACCAAAACTTAGTATCTATCTATCTGTCTGTCTGTCTGTCTGTCTATCTATCGATATATATACATGATTATTATTATTATTATTATTATTATTATTATTATTATTATTTTGTATTTATTTATTTTTATTTAACCTTTAAAAATATAACCCATATTCAAATTAATCTTTCCTTGCTGCTCTGTGAATCATAAAAGTCACAGCAGACCATTCTCAGTGGAGCTCATAGTTCCTGTATCTAACAGACTTACAGAATGCCCCCTTTAATCAGCATCCACATTTATTCCTTTGTTTGGAATGTAGAAAGAAACTACATCTGTACAGCTCCTATTTGTTTGGGTTTTTCTCAACACCGTGTGATGTTTTTGGTCATCTTCAAATGTTATGTGGATCTGCTTTATTTCTATAGTTTTGTTTTTTGAACCCAGCAGCATACATAACTGTTTGGATGTATGTGAATCTGCCTAAATGACCTGGAATGTTCCACAACACGGTATTAACTGGTTAACACGGTTTTACATGTATTAATTTACAATTGCTTTTATTAGCTCCTATGTTTGCCTCATGAAGTTTAATGTCAGGCTGTGAAGCATACCAGTGAAGGCTGTATCAAGTGGTGGTTTGAATATTGTTTAATGAAGTTACACATTGAGTTGAAGCTTAAACACTGAAATCTTATCTGTTGAACAGTACCATTGTGTTTCCTATATAATGTGTAACCTATGTGCTTCTAAGCAATTTCCTTTGCAGAACTGGGACTGTGGAGATAACTGTTGGAGGGGGTTGTCACAAATTCCTTTGCAGAACTGGGACTGTGGAGATAACCAACTGGCTTATCTAAACAGACTTGGTGTGATTTACAATGGTTTGGAGGGGGTTGTCACTTCCCCCAAAAAAGAAATGCTGACACTTCAAGGCAACGATTCAAGGCGGGAACCTGCTCAACATATTATTTGCATATTCATATGGATGTTTATAAAAACTGGATTGAAGTATTCAGAAGGGGTCAGATGCCTGATATAAGCCCTATGTAACTTTGTAGGCAGTTAGGGGCAATGATCTGACCCAGAGTTCTGTATTAGAATTGAATTGTCAGGGGAATAAATTTTTGTAACTTAAATTGATTGAGTCTAGTAATTTTTTATAGAACACGCCTAACACCAGGAAAAGTCAACAAAAAAACTTTCATAGTGCATCTTTAAAAGAAAAAAATGGATGCTATGTGCTAACATGCTAATTTTTTAAGCCCTATATGAAACTTTGCACTATATTGTTACATGTTATAGGTGAATTGATATCCAAACCAGGGTTAGGCTTTAATTGTAATTATGTATATTTTGTGCTATTATTGTATGCAATTGTGTAGACCAAGGATTCAATCCAAAACTAATTTTGTTTATTCTTTCCAAAATGTTTGTTTTTCAAAGGGTTGTCCTCAGCTCTTGCTCATGTCAATATAAACATAAGATCCTTTGGTGAGATCAGCAATGAAGTGCTCACTGAAACTATTAAAAAGGTAAATATATGAATGAATGCCTTTATCTGTCAATTTCTTCACATGTACAAGACATACAAAGGAATTGAAATTGGACCTGTCACCCCATCCGTACATTTACAAACACATAATACATAACATGGGGGTACTAGACATGGACCGGACCAGAAGACAGGTAACAGAGGAAGAAAAAATGCAGCATAACATGAGGAGAGGGGGAGAAGAAAAAAAATGAATAGCCCCCAGACCATGTCCCTGATGGGGATATAGTATGGAACCAACACAAACACACACACAAAAAAAACACCAGCATCACAACATCAGCACATAGTCAAAACAAGGTACAGACATAACGACCAGACTTGCAATTGGGGAGGGTAGGGGGGTTGAGTTGACCCAACATAGACAAGCAGCCATCTGGATCCTGCAGCCAGTGGCGCTGGATACAGCAGGCCCGCCCACCATCCAGAGGGTGCAAAGCTGTGAAGGCGTAGAGGAAGTGTAGGGAGAGCTCCAGTCTCTCCCAGGTGAGCTGATACTAGTCGGCCTTGCCCAAGACCGGTGCTGGCTGGGGGAAGCCAATAAAATAAGATTCGAGTTGTTTGGATTTTGGGACGAGCAGCTGTGCCTATTTCCACAACAGCTCTGATCGTCTCTCTTGGTCTCAAGGTCTGCTCATCCCTCTTTGTAAAGCTTCCAGTCTCTCTGAGATGTTATTAATAATGCTCTCCAAGGCCAAAGTCCCATCTAACCTGCAGTAAATGGCAGCTAACTTTTCTGCGATGCGGTACGGAGCAGCTGAACCATCTTTAAAATGTCTCATTGTCACAGTTTGGGAGTTTGCAACTTTACCTTCCATTTCAATCACTCCGGGCAGCCAAATGGGGCATTGAACACCCACCTTGGTAATCTGAATTTTTTGAAAAATCAGGGCCATGCCCAATCCAGTCAGCAAAACTCCTGTAATCATGGTTCCGAATAGGAAAATATCTTCAATGTCCTCCACGGAAAGAGCCGCCAGACATGACGTGCCACTTCTCCCAGCTGTCCATCATGTAACTTGCACAGAAAGTTCTGGGTGGGCACCCAGGTTTGCCCAAGCCCAAGTAGTGAGCTTCTTTCGCCAGTATGCGTGAATCATGTCAGGGCCTGTGCAGTCCAGTTTTTCATACCTGAGATTCTGTCCTGGATGTCTGCCAACTGTGATAGTGACTGAAATCTGTTCAAAGAGGTTGCTGTGGTCTTCTCTCAGATCCACAAGCCACTGTGTGTTGTGATAGCAGTTGCCGTTTGTGGATGTTGGAACACTGTCTATTGACTAGGGTTACTGTAGTGGTAGCCTTCCAGCAGAGCCTTTATTCTGGCATCTCGCCCATTTCCTCTTTGTTCCGGTCACCCATTTTTCATCAAGTTGCCCTGGTTCCCCAGCACCTGACACAGACCTTGTGTGGCTGTGCGATGTCTGAGCCGGCATCTGATAAGTTTCATTGTCTCATTGTCTCTCATCATTGTATGAGGTGGGCAGTAGCACAAACGGTCTTGCCCAAATACCAACACTGGTTAGCTCATTGCGCTGTCAGGGGCTAATTCGAACCTAAGTCCCCCATGTGAAAGTTCAGTGACTTACCAGCTGAGCAAAATGTTTTGGTAATAAAAGTAACATTTCTGTGATGTCTCTTATTTTACAGTTTTTCCTAGACAAGCTTAAGAGTACAGGCATTGTGATAACAGTGAAATCAATTACAAAGTTAAATACACTTCAACCAAGACCAAACACCCAAATTCAAAAGTCTACAACTACAACCACCACACCTCCGACAACCACCACCACTAGTCCTCCGACAACAAAAACACCTCCGACTACCACCACCAGTCATCCAACAACCAACACCACCAGTCCTCCGACAACAACCACTAGTCCTCCAACAACCACCACACCTCCAACAACCACCACACCTTCAACAACCACCAAAACCAGTCCTCCAACAACTACCACCGCTGGTCCTCAGACAACAACCACTAGTCCTCCAACAACCACCCCACCTCCAACAACCACCACACCCTCTCTTCCAACAACTACCACAACCAATCCTCCGCCAACAACCACCACCAGTCCTCCGACAACCACTACAAGTCTTTCAACCACAACAACCAGCCCTCCAATAACCACAACCACCAGTCCTCCAACAACCGCCAACAGTCCTCCAACAACCACCACCATACCTCCATCAACCACCACATCTCCCACAACCACCATCACCATTCATCCGTCAACCACCACCAGTTCTCCGACAACCACCACCAGTCCTCCAACAACCAGCACCAGTCCTCCGACAACCACCACCACTGGTCCGCCGACAACAACCACCAGTCCTCCAACGACGACCACCATACCTCCAACAACCACCACACCTAAAATAACCACCACCACCAGTCCTCCAACAACCACCACCACCGGTCCTCCGACAACCACCACCACCAGTCCCCCAACAACCACTACCAGTCCTCCAACAACCACCACCACTGGTCCTCCGACAACAACCACTAGTCCTCCAACAACCACCCCACCTCCAACAACCACCACACCTTCAACAACCACCACAACCAATCCTCCGCCAACCACTAGCACTAGTCCTCCGACAACCACCACCAACCCTGCGACCTCCAACACCATACCTTCGACAACCACCACCACGAGTCCCCCGACAACAACCACCACACCTCCAACAACCACCACCAGTCCTCCAACAACCACCACGACTAGTCCTCCGATAACCAGTTCTCTGACAACCACCACTACCAGTCCTCCAACCACCACCACCCCCAAGCCTCCGACAACCACTACAAGTCTTTTAACCACCACAACCAGTTCTCCAACAACCACCACACTTCCAACATTCACCACAATCAGTCCTCCAACAATGACCACCACCAGTCCTCCACCAACCACCAGCACAAGTCCTCCGACAACCACCACACCTCCAACAACCACCACCACCATTCCTCCGACAAGCACCAGTTCTCTGCCAACCACCAGTACCAGTCCTCTGACAACCACCACCATACCTCCAACAACCACCACTACTAGTCCTCCGACAACCAGTTCTCTGACCACCACCACCACCACCAAGCCTCCGACAACCACTACAAGTCCTTCAACCACTACAAACAGTCCTCCAACAACCACCACCATACCTCCAACAAACACCACAACTAGTCCTCCAACAACTACCACCACCAGTCCTCCTCCAACCACCATCACCAGTCTTCCGCCAACCACCAGCACCAGTCCTCCGACAACCACCACCACTAGTCCTCCGACAACAACAACCACCAGTCCCCCGACAACCACCACACCTCCAACAACCACCACCAGTCCTCCTACAACCATCACTACTAGTCCTCCGACAACCAGTTCTCTGACAACCACCACTACCAGTCCTCCAACCACCACTACCACCAAGCCTCCGACAACCACTACAAGTCTTTTAACCACCACAACCAGTTCTCCAACAACCACCACACCTCCAACATCCACCACAACCAGTCCTCCAACAACTACCACCACCAGTCCTCCACCAACCACCAGCACCAGTCCTCCGACAACGACAACCAAACCTCTGACGTTCACCACCATACCTCCGACAACCACCACCAATAGTCCTCAGACAGCAACGACCACCAGTCCTCCTCCAACCACCACACCTCCAAGAACCACCACCACCGTTCCTCCGACAACCACCACACCTCCGACAACCACCACCAGTCCTCCAACAAACACCACAACCAGTCCTCCGACAACTACCACCACCAGTCCTCCTCCAACCACCAGCACCAGTCTTCCACCAACCACCAGCACCAGTCCTCCGACAACCACCATCAAACCTCTGACGTCCACCACCAAGCCTCCGACAACCACCACCACTAGTCCTCCGACAACAACGACCACCAGTCCTCCAACAACCACCACACCTCCAACAACCATCACCACCACCATTCCTCCGACAACCACCACACCTCTGACAACCACCACCAGTCCTCCAACAACCAGCACCAGTCCTCTAACAACCACCACTACAAGTCCTCCGACAACCAGTTCTCTGACAACCATCACTACCAGTAATCAAACCACCACCACCAAGCCTCTGACAACCACTACAAGTCCTTCAACCACCCCAACCAGTCCTCCAACAACCACCACCATACCTCCATCAACCACCACATCTCCCACAACCACCATCACCATTCGTCCGTCAACCACCACCAGTCCTCCGACAATCACCACCACCAGTCCTCCAACAACCACCGCACCTCCAACATCCAGCACCACCAGTCCTCCGACAACCACCACCACCAGTCCTCCAATAACCACCACCAGTCCTCTGACAACCACCACCACTGGTCCTCCGACAACAACCACCAGTCCTCCAACAACCACCACCATACCTACAACAACCACCACACCTCCAATAACCACCACCACCAGTCCTCCAACAACCACCACCACCGGTCCTCCGACAACCACCACCACCAGTCCTTCAACAACCACTACCAGTCCTCCAACAACCACCACCACTGGTCCTCCGACAACAACCACCAGTCCTCCAACAACTATCACCAAACCTCTGATGTCCACCACAATACCTCCGACAACCACCACCATTGGTTCTCCGACAACAACCACCAGTCCTCCGACAACCACCACACCTCCAACAACCACCACCACTGTTCCTCCGACAACCACCACCAGTCTTCCAACAACCACCACTACTAGTCCTCCGACAACCAGTTCTCTGACAACCACCACTACCAGTCCTCCAACCACCACCACCAAGCATCCGACAACCACTACAAGTCCTTCAACCACCACAACCAGTTTTCCAACAACCACCACACCTCCAGCATCCACCACAACCAGTCCTCCAACAACTACCACCACCAGTCCTCCGCCAACCACCACCACCAGTCCTCCAACCACCATACCTCCATCAACCACCACACCTTTAACAACCACCACCACTAGTACTCCGACAACCACCACCACACCTTCGACAATTACCACCACCAACCCTCCAACAACCACCGCACTTCTATACACCATCACCACTCTGCAACCAACAACAACCACTCCCCAACCCAGCACTCCCACCCTTCCACCAACCACTACCACCACACCGCCTACAATAACAACCACACCTTCACCCACCACCACACCACATCTAACAACCATTGTACTTCTACCCAGCACCACCCAGCCTCCACCAACCACCATCACACCTCCAACAACCACCACCAGTTCTCCGACAACCACCACCAGTCCTCCAACAAACACCACCAGTCCTCCGACAACCACCACCAGTCCTCCGACAACCACCACAAGTCCTCCAACCACCACACTCCCAACAGCCACCACCACCAGTCCGTCACCCACCACCAGTCCTTCAACAACCACTACAACCATTCCTCCACCTAACACCACCCCATAACCAACAAAAAACACCCCTCCACCCACCACCAATATAACATGTCCTCCAACTACCACCACTACTCATCAAACAACAACCACTCCTCTACCCACCGCCCCCCACTTCCAACAGCAACTACACCTCTATCCACCACCATCCCAAATCCTAAATCCAAATCCATTTTACTTCTATTGTACATTTTACAAACAAAGCAGTTTCCAAAGTGCTAACCATAAGTCAAGAAGAGAACAAAAAGGAAAATTGCTAAAATTTGGTCATACCAGTCCTAAAACAATAAAACCATTATAATTAAAATAAAATCAAGAATCATAAAATCATAAAATAACAGTAAATAAGAAAAAATAAATCAAATAAATAAATAGGAGACACAGTGGACCACACAACTCACTCTTAAAAGAAGCTACAGAGAAGGCCCTAGTTTTAAGTCTTGTTTTAGGCACCACGAGCGCCAACAACAACCACCCCACCATCCACCACTACCATGCCACCTCCACCCACCACCATCCTGTCTCCAACAATCAACAACCCTTCACCCCACAATCAACAAGAACCACTCCTCAATCCACCACCAGCACACCTCTGCCAACAACAACCACCCCTCCACCCACCAACACAAACCCTGATGGAGCAATCACAACTACCACACCCCCTTCAACATCACTGCTGTCTCCAACACTGAATTTACTGGCACATGTACAAATGTGGATTAGAGCTTCTGGAAACATCAGTGAATTTACAATTATTGAACACATCAAGCAGGTAAAATATGTTTTAATATGTAATTTAAACCAACATTCTAAGCATTAAACATCATTCTCTCTTCCAGGTCTTGAAAGTTTAACTAAAGATCAACTGTGTGACCAGGATCCTGATGTCTTTGTTATAAAAAATTGAGAAAGTAAATGTTTAATTTTAGACATCATTATTCTCCATTTTGTTGTGGATCAAATGTTCTACCCATAAGCTTTCTATAGCAAGTATGTATAGTATCTTTATGTTAATACATGTTCGATGTACTGTTTTACTTTGTCTCCATTTGATTTTAGCTCTCCATTTTGATTTTTATGATAACCTTTAGGAGTTTTATGTTTTTGTTTTTATGTTTATGTTTAAATTGTTGTATTTATGGATGAAACAATGGGATGGGGTGGGGGGGTTGCTCTTGTTTTTAATTATTGTATTGTAATTTTTCTGTTGCATATGAAGCACTTTGTGCTACATTTCAAATGTATGAAAAGTGCTATACAAATAAAGTTTGATTGATTGATTGATTGATGTGTACAATACATGTAAAATGATGCACATAATACTTTTGCCACTTTATATATGTGTACATACAGATGACTTATTTAAGTAAATATTGTTAATTATTATAACACACTAAACAGTTTACATTGTCTTTTTTATTAATCATCATCAATTAATGAGTGCAGTACCATTTCATTTTAATAGGTTAATAATGGGATATTACGGCCTTTTAAAAGTCACTTTTAATTCACGCCCATTTAATTCACAGAACTGAAGGACTATTTACAGCAAGTTTGGCAGATGCTCAACGGTTGAACCAGTCCAGTTGTGCAAAGAAACTGTCAGTGCCCTCAAAATAAATTGGTATCACTGGCAATTTTTTAAGAAAGAATAATGTGAATGTTTTGATGACTATTAATATAAAATTATTAATAACAAACACCAATTAAAAAAAAATATATATATATATTATTATGTGCCCAATTTTTTGGTGTACGTTAGTCTTGAGCTTCACAAAACCGTAACTTTAGTATTTTAGTGTTGGCCGGCAGGGCAGTTGGTGATTGTGGAATATATATGGAAAAAAAAAAAAAAAAAAAAAAAAAATTATACTCTCCACTAGATGTCATCTTAATCTTTTTTTTTTCCTTTGGATTTTCCCGGATGTGATTACCTGTAATTATTTATAATTTTGAGTGGCTGGAATATGATGATACGTTTTTACAAACAAAGAGGTGATCATGGTAAGCAGGCATATGTGAAACCAGTCTGACAGGGTTAGTTTTACCACAGCGGAAGGTGGAGCATATCACATTTAGGTCAATGCAGCCTGCTGTCTATGAGAAATAGATGGTTGAACTTGAACTGGCAACATAGCCACACAAAATCTGCTGCAATGGTCTGTTTGATAATATTATTTGGATTATCCTTGGTGACTCCTGGGAAAGGTAAATACTTATTTTATTCAAATACTTGTTTGTTACTACACCCAACGTTATACTGAAGCAAACCTTTAATGGTTGATTTACATTGGTTTTCAGATTCTAGAATGTGATGATGTTATATTTGCAGATGGGGGGCGAGAGCCAGTTTTCCCTATTGGTTGCTACATATGTTTCCATGAAATAATCAAAAGGAAAATGCATACATGTTTAAACTGATCCTTTCTTCTTTTTTTTTTAATTGACTAGACTTGAGATCTCACTAGTTTACAACAAAAATCTGCATTTTAACAAGACACATTTTAGTTGCACCCATCTGTATTAAATAATGTTTACATATGCTGCTCTACAGAGGCAAAAGAGCTTAACTCACCAGAGTGTGAAACTGAGAAAAATGACTTCAAAATTTCTGTTTTGTCCAGACAAAAGTATAATAGGTAGGGCTCCCAAAACTTGACAACTAGTTGCTATAATGAAGAAATGTTTGTATGTGAAAAATATTGAGCTCAAAATGGACCTTTGACCCTTATTTGGCAGCATCTGTACTCTACCTTTGTATCATGTGCCAAAAATAAGGAGTTGTGCAAAAGCAAAAGGCAGTGACTGACCGCAAGACTGTGAGACCGTGCTCCGTGTGTGCGCTCACCACTGCCCTTGAAACCAATGGCAAGCCAAACACAAGTGTCAGTCAAATGTGGCATATACCAAGGACAACAAATCATACACAAATATATGTATAATTCTGGCCTAGATGCCCCCCCCCAAATTATCCACTTAATGCCTGAAATTATATAGATGTATATAAAAATTGTGTGTGTTTTTGCCTTTAAGTAGATGGTAAATTAAGTTGAGATTATTCATTTGACCATAGTAAAAAGATAAATAGAAATTTGGGTATGGAATGGACAAAAATGTGGCTGTTTGCTGCAGGTGTTCCAATCAGTGGGAGCAGGTAGAGGGTGCTCTTGGAAAACAAATCAAAACTAAAAGACAACAGACTCCAGGCACTCCAAAGAAGTAAAAAAAAAAAAAAAAAAAAGTGAAAAATCGCATGAGGAAAAATATTGTTAAAAGTAGTGCTGTCATGCGATTAAAAAAATTGAGAGATTAATTAATTATGATCTGTAATTAATTAATCTAATTAATCTCTTTTTAATCTCACCTAAAACTTGCTGAGAAAAGCTTCAATTTGAGGTATTTTCATTTAAATTCATTATTACATTATTGTGGCAGATCAAAAGACTGATATAGAACAAAACTAGAAAAGCAGTCAGAGAGCGCAGACCTCCACCAAGGACTACAGTCCCCCTCATATTAATTGTGTTTTCCATAAATATTTGTCTCGTATCTTTCAATTTGGAATATGAAAGAGGATCCCATTGTCCATCCCTGAGTCAAATTTCATGGGGTTTGGTCAATAATTAACTGAGATATTGAGAAACAAAATTTTTGGCCCCATTTACCACAAGGTTAACTAAAATTTCAAAGTGATCCAGAATCCAAGATTTCTTCCGGATCACCCCCAAAATGAAATCAGTTCTTCCTTTTCACATTTCCAACAAATCCTGAAAAGTTCATCAAAATCGGTCCATAACTTTTTGAGTTATGTTGCTAACAGACAAACAAACAGACAAACGCCGGCAAAAACATAACCTCCTTGGCGGAGGTAAAAAGTGACTTTATAAAGTCATTTATTGTTTAACAAATCTCTCCAAATTGTCTGTTGAGCCCAAGTCTCCATGAATAAGAAACTGTTTGCTGTAAAGTAGCAAAGACTAGGAAATCTGAACATAATAACTTTTGTCTACTTAAAGACAATAAAAAGTCCAGTCTTTCCTTCACCATATTAAAAATATTATTGATAGAGAAATGTTTTATATATGAGATCACTGGTTTTAATCCTTGTTTTAGTCCTGGTTTAGACCTGCTTTAGTCCTACTTTAGTCCTAGTTTAGTCCTGGAATGAGTTAGTCCTGGTTTTAGTTCTGGTGTTAGTCCTGGTTTAGACCTGGTTTAGACCTGGACTGGGTCAGTCCCAGTTTTAGTCTTGGTTTACGCAGCGTACGCGAGAAAACGTACGCGGCGCACGGGAGCACGTCGGTGTCCACGCAGTAACTACGGAAGGAAACGTGGTCCGTGTGTTCTCAGGTTAATGACGATGATGAAGGTGTGTGTTTGTGTGTGTGTATTTGTGTGTGTTTGTGTTTATGTGTGTGTTTGTGTGTAGGACAGTAGTGCAGACATCATGAGCCTATGCAGGTTGTTTTCACTAGTGACATTTAAGTTGTAGGTGATTTTATATTTGTTATTTTCTTTTATATTTCACGTCGGGAGAATAATTTCCAAGACATGAATGTGTTTTTACCTGTGCACTGCTGACTCTGTTCTACTGGCTCTTCCACCTCATCCATTGTGCGACTGACACCGCCAACGTTAACATGACGTTTATATCGCTCTTACTGTGCGCATTTTGTGTGGGTTTCCGGCAATGAGTGGAATTACCGAAATAAAAAAAATTATAAATGTGTTTTTTTGTGTGTTGTTGTCCCAACAACACATAAAAACTGATTTTATAATAAAGCAACTCGCATACAGAAACAGTAAAGTTAGAGATTAAAAATGAGATAAACGCGATAAAAAAACATAACGCGCTAAATATGACTGTAATTAATTAATCACAATTAACACGATAATGTGACACCCCTAGTTAAAAGGCCTTTATATAAATGGCCAAAGTCAACATGTTGCGACCTTAACTGGTCTTCAGCAACTAAGCCCTGATGAAGACCAGTGGTCATTTAAATAAAGACCTTTTGACTATATTTTTTTCCTTGTGCGATTTTTTTACTTTTTTTTTTTTACTTCTTTGGAGTGCCTGGGGTCAGTTGTGTTTTAGAATTTTGGGTATGTTGCAAATTTATGACAACTAGAAACAAGTGCTTGCTAAAGGTTCCTAGGAAAGTACTGCATATGCACGAACCAGGACTGGGGGAATGCAGCAGCTATCTTGACTTATATCTTAATCCAAATGGTTTGTTGCATATTTGTGATTTTCGACATTAAGGGGTTATACTACAACCACCGCCACTGCCCAATAGCCATTTCGAAACATCATTCTGACCCTCGCCGTCAGTCCTCTCATGTCCTCTTCCCATCAGTACCTCAACCAACTCTTTCTGTCTCATTCCTTATTTTACTTATCTTAATTCATCTATTGGGGGTCCTGAATAGACTGGGCTGACAACCTGAGACAGAGCCCCCATCCTGAGTGTCCTCCCAGCCACCACATCTATCTGTCATCAATAAATACCTTTATCATATTTCATTGTTGTGGCATAGTCCTTGCTAGTGGAAAAGAAGTTAAACATATGCTCTCTCTCTCTCTGTTTTTACCTGCAGCAACAACAACTGTTCCAATAATAACCACAACTACTGCTCTAACAACCACCTCGCCTGCTCCAACAATCACCGTCCCAACAACCACCGCTCCAACAACTGCTTCAACAACCACCGCTCCAAGAACAACTGCTTCAGCCACCTCCACACCAACAACTACTGCTTCAACAACTGCCTTGCCTCCTCCAACAACCACCACAACTAGTGCTCCAACAACCACCACCATTACACCTCCAACAACCACCACTACACCCCACTACCACCCCACCCTACAACCTCCAACAACCACCACCCACTACAACTCCAACAACCACCACCACTAACACCTCCACCACTACACCTCCAACAACCACCACCACCACTAAACCTCCAACACCTCCAACAACCACTACCACTACACCTCCAACAACCACCACCACTACACCTTCAACAACCACCACCACTACACTTCCAACAACCACCACCACTACATCTCCAACAACCACCACCACTACACCTTCAACAACCACCACCACTACACTTCCAACAACCACCACCATTACACCTCCAACAACCACCACTACACCCCCTACAACCACCACCACTACACCTCCAACAACCACCACCACTACAACTCCAACAACCACCACCACTACACCTCCAACAACCACCACCACTACACCTCCAACAACCACCACCACCACTAAACGTCCAACACCTCCAACAACACTACCAACCAACCAACCACCAACACACCTCCAACACCACCACTACACCTCCAACAACCACCACCACCACTAAACCTCCAACACCTCCAACAACCACTACCACTACACCTCCTACAACCACCACCACTACACCTTCAACAACCACCACCACTACACTTCCAACAACCACCACCACTACATCTCCAACAACCACCACCACTACATCTCCAACAACCACCACCACTACACCTCCAACAACCACCACCACCACTAAACACCTCCAACACCTCCAACAACCACCACCACTACACCTCCAACAACACCAACCACACACCTCCAACAACACCACCACCACTAAACCACCTACACCTCCAACAACCACCACCACTACACTACACCCACCAACAACCAACAACCACCACCAACTACACCTCCAACAACTCCACCACTACACCTCCAACAACCACCACCACTACACCCTCCAACAAACCACCACCACTACACCTCCACAACCACCACCACCACCACTAAACCTCCAACACCTCCAACAACCACTACCACTACACCTCCTACAACCACCACCACTACACCTTCAACAACCACCACCACTACACTTCCAACAACCACCACCACTACATCTCCAACAACCACCACCACTACACCTCCTACAACTGCCACCACTACACCTTCAACAACCACCACCACTACACCTCCAACAACCACCACCACTACACCTCCAACAACCACCACCACCACTAAACCTCCAACACCTCAACAACCACCACTACCACTACACCTCCAACAACCACACCACTACACCCCACAACAACCACCACTACACCTCCAACAACCACCACCACCACCACTACACCTCCAACAACCACCACCACTACACCTCCAACAACCACCACCACCACCACTAACACCTCCAACAACCACTACCACTACACCTCCAACAACCACCACCACTACACCTCCAACAACCACCACTAAACCTCCAACAACCACTACCACTACACCTCCTACAACCGCCACCACTACACCTCCAACAACCACCACCACTACATCTCCAACAACCACCACCACTACACCTCCAACAACCACCACCACCACTAAACCTCCAACACCTCCAACAACCACTACCACTACACCTCCAACAACCACCACCACTACACCTCCAACAACCACCACCACCACTAAACCTCCAACACCTCCAACAACCACTACCACTACACCTCCTACAACCACCACTACACCTCAACAACACCACCACTACACCTCCAACAACCACCACCACTACACCTCCAACAACCACCACCACTACACCTCCTACAACCAACACCACTACACCTTCAACAACCACCACCCACCACCACTACACCTCCAACAACCAACCACCACTACACCTCCAACAACCACCACCACCACTAAACCTCCAACACCTCCAACAACCACTACCACTACACCTCCAACAACCACCACCACTACACCTCCAACAACCACCACTACACCTCCTACAACCACCACCACTACACCTCCAACAACCACCACCACTACACCTCCAACAACCACCACCACCACTAAACCTCCAACAACACCTACCACACACACCTCCAACAACCACCACCACTACACCTCCAACAACCACCACTAAACCTCCAACAACCACTACCACTACACCTCCTACAACCGCCACCACTACACCCTCCAACAAACCACCTCAACCACCACCACTACACCTCCAACACCACCACCACACTACACCTCCAACAACCACCACCACCACCACTAAACCTCCAACACCTCCAACAACCACTACCACTACACCTCCTACAACTGCCACCACTACACCTTCAACAACCACCACCACTACACCTCCTACAACTGCCACCACTACACCTTCAACAACCACCACCACTACACCTCCTACAACTGCCACCACTACACCTCAACAACCACCACCACCACTACACCTCCTACAACTGCCACCACTACACTCCAACAACCACTACCACTACACCTCCAACACCACCACCACTACACCTCCAACACCTACCACCACTACACCTCCTACAACCACCACCACTACACCTCCAACAACCACCACCACTACACCTCCAACAACCACCACCACCACTAACCTCCAACAACCACACTACCACTACACCTCCTACAACCGCCACCACTACACCTCCAAACAACCACCACCACTACACCTCCAACAACCACCACCACTACACCTTCAACAAACCCACCACCACTACACCTCCAACAACCACCACCCCCACTAAACGTCCAAGACCTCCAACAACCACTACCACTACACCTCCTACAACTGCCACCACTACACCTCCAACAACCACCACCACTACACCTCCTACAACTGCCACCACTACACCTTCAACAACCACCACCACTACACCTTCAACACCACACTACACCTCCTACAATCACCACTACACCTCCTACAACTGCCACCACTACACCTTCAACAACCACCACCACTACACCTCCAACAACCACCACCACTACACCTCCAACAACCACCACCACTACACCTCCAACAACCACCACCACTAAACCTCCAACACCTCCAACAACCACTACCACTACACCTCCTACAACTGCCACCACTACACCTTCAACAACCACCACCACTACACCTCCAACAACCACCACCACTACACCTCCAACAACCACCACCATTACACCTCCAACACCTCCAACAACTACCACCACTACACCTCCAACAACCACCACCACTACACCTCCAACATCTCCAACAACCACCACCACTACACCTCCAACAACCACCACATTACACCTTCAACAAACACCACCACTACACCTCCAACACCTCCAACAACTACCACCACTACACCTCCAACAACCATCACCACTACACCTCTTCCTCCAGCATCACCGAATTTACTGGCACATGTACAAATGCGGATTAGATCTTCTGGAAATGTCAGTAAAGTTACAATCACTGAACACATCAAGAAGGTAAAATATGTTTTAATATGTCATTTAAACCAACAATGCAAGCATTAAACATCATTCTCTCTTCCAGTTCTTGAAAGATCAACTAAAAGATCAACTGAGTGGCCAGGATCCTGATGTCTTTATTTTAAAAATTGAGAAAGTAAATGCCTAATTTTAGCTGTCAACACTCAGACTGCTATAAACCTCAAACCGCAATACGGATAACATCAGAGAGAAGCTTGCAGCCCTCCAAAGACAAATGGATAGACACGGAGATCAATATGGTCAAAGAGAGAAGTTGTGGGAATTGAAATGGGGCTACTCGCTCGAAACCCAAAACCATGAATCTTATCTGCTTTTGGCCTCCCTCATTTCCCTCAAACAAGGCCACTGCTGGAACAACAACTCCCCTCAGAGGACATGACAATGAGATGCTCTTGCATTCCTTCTCCACTCGAACTGGCAACTGCGGATGTTGACCCTGTGTGGGACGATGGTAAGCGGAGTCTCCAGGCCCTCTCCACATCCCATGCCTCCGTTGTTGTATTGTGTTTTTGTATTGTGTTGGTTTTGGCTGTAACCACTCCCCTCCCCTGTTACAAGTTGAGTCTTCATGTTGTACTGTTTTTGATTATGTGCTTATGTCAAGCAGTTGTTTTTTTTTCTTTTTTGTCCTGGTCCCACATTATGCTCCCCACAGGAGCATAGTCTGTATTTTATTTTTTTTTTTTTGAAGATGTGCCTGAGAAAGCTGCAAGACCTGGATTTCCCCTTTGAAGGATCAATAAATTATTTATTTATCTATCTAATGCTACTTTTTATATGCCTATATGCAGGTGACTTATTTAAGTAAATATTGCTATTTATAATACATTAATCTGCTTACATTGTCTTTTTAAATTAATTTTCATCAGTTAATCAACCCATTGCCATTTCAGTTTAATAGTTTAATAATGGAATAATACAGCCTTTGAAAAGTAACTTGAAATGCCCATTTAATTAACAGAACTGAAGGACTAGTTGCAAATTTTGCTGATGCACTACAGTTGGATCAATCCAAAAAACTTTCATTGCCCTCTAAATAAATTGGCATCACTTAAATTTTTAAAATAGGAATCATGCAAAAGTTTTGATGAGTGTTAATATAAAAGTATTAATAACAGCTGTAATGGACCAAATAGAAAGACAAAGACAAGGTATAAGTTTAAATTTAATACAGTAAAAAAAAAGAAGATGTAATTTAACAAAGGCTCAAATTAGGTCAATCATTAAACGTAGCTTAAAGCAAATTGAACAGAACAAACCTAACCCAACCAGACAAAGAACAGAAGGCAAATAAGTGGATCCTCTGTGTTAAACTCTCCACCAACACCTCCACCCTCCTCGTCACTGCCATTTTGCAATTCACCTTCTGGCTCACTTGGCACCCTCCTGATTACAGCCCTTATCCAACCTCTCCCTCCTCCAAAAGGCATCCCCATTTTTTTTCTTCAGGAGGTTGGTAGTGCAAAAAAAAAATGGAATTGAATGATCCCACCACTGCCACCAACTGTAGTGGATCAAACAGAAAGGCGAAGACAAGGTATAAAATAAGTTTAAATTTAACATAGTCAAAAAAGATGTAATTTAACAAAGGTTCAAATTAGGTAAATCATACTAACCAGACCAGACAAAGAACAGGGGTGTTTAAAGATATGAGGGCCAACTAAAACTGAGCACAATTAACTAAAACTACTAGCTTAATCAAAGTGACAAAAATAACAGGTGATAATAAAGTAACCTTAAACACTCAAAAAAAAAAAAAAAAATCTGATATTTGGATTATTCTTGGTGACTCCTAGGAAAGGTAAATACTTCCTTCACAATACAATACAATGCAATACAATACTTCCCATATACTAAACAAAAAAATCTACACTGATAACAGAACTCACAAAAACCAAAAAAAATCCAGTTGAACTAATAATGTTGTTTTAAGTATTTTGTTAATATGTTGTGGTGTTAATACTCATGTGCTTTGGATGATGTATTATCATAATCAGGGGTAAAACTTAGGTCGTTGTAACATCAATTTACTTTTGACAGCAAATTACTTATTTCATTTGTATCTGTATGTTTTCGTTATAACATGCTTAAAGACCTCTTCCACTTTTAAAATGTAGTTGAAGTTGGATGTGTTGATGGAGGAACATGCAAACATGCATGAAATTCATTTTGATATGTACTGGTCAAAAAAAATAATAATAATAATAAAAGGAACACTTTTCGAACACATCAGATCTCAGTGTGAATATCTATCTATCTGTCTCTATCTGTCTCTATCTGTCTCTCCCGCTCTCTCTCTCTCTCTCTTTCTCACCAACACAACTGCTGACTGACCGACCAGTCGTCTGTGACTACTGCAGAACCTGTCAGACCAACCTGTGTACTGCCTGGATTGATTACAAGAAAGCCTCTGATTTAATGCCAGACACATGGATCACTGAGTGTCTGGAGTTGTACAGTATCAACAGGACTCTAAGGGCTTTCATTGCAAACTCAATGCGGTTGTGGAAAACCACCCTTGAAGTCGATGGGAAGCCACTTGCACAAATGTCAAATCAAATGTGGCATATATGAAGGAGATGCACTGTCCCCACAGCTGTTCTGCATAGGCCTGACCCCCCTCAACTAAATCATTGAATGCACTGGCTACGGATACCGACTCAGAAACGGGGCCACCATCAGTCACCTCCTCTACATGGATGACATCAAGCTGTACGCTAAGTGTGAGCGAGACTGGAATGTCATTCGGGCTTGAGAAATGTAGTAGGATGGTGACAAAGAGAGGGAAGGTAATCCACAAAGAGGGGGTCACACTCCCAGAGGGAACAATAGAGTTCCGAACCCCACGTGACTCACAGTGGGCGGGCCGCCATTTTGGCAGTAAAAATTGATAGCGCCACCGCCGAAGCTTTCAAGCCATCGGAGTACTCAGCTCACTTTAAATCACAAGACGTTGAGCTTTATATCAAAAAATTAAACCGATTAAACATTACCGACCAGTATAATGCCCCCTGGGTGCTTTTTAAAAATATTTCCGCTGAAGAAGACATCCCAGATCTGCAGTACATCGCCAAACAAACCAAAACTGGTCCGATTGACGTGCCTCTGTTTCCCGGTAGAACAGCGATACCTCCAATTATCAATACCGATGTTCCCTGTTAAGACCACGTGCCATCCTCATCTCAAGTGTCACCATGAACTCATAAAACAGCAGCATGTAGAACTTTGTACAAACTCACCACATCAGCCCAGAGCAGAAGCTCTGAGCTTGGGAAACAGCAGCAGCCAACAGTGATAAAGAGGAGCAGTCACCATACCGCGCAGCTCCTCTGGACGGGGCTGGGGTCGGGTCCTTGGTCTTGTCCTCCGAGCGCGTTGGTCTGTTGGTCCAGAGCAGGGGTGCTCAATACATCGATCGCGATCTACCAGTCGATCGCCAAGGTCGTGTAGGTAGATCGCCGTGTCTCGTCTCGGATTCGCGTTTGGACTCGGTCTTGTGTCTCACTCGAGGTGTGACACTCAACAAGTGTGATCATATTTCATTACGGCCACTGCTGTTGGTAATAAACTTGTAGCGGGTGCAGGAGCGTGTGGGGCGTCTCAGTGCAGCCTGTGCGCTCATTTGAAACCCGCGGAGACTCTACGGCGCATCACAAACACACACGCTCCCTATGCACGGCTCGTCTGCAACAGCGTGTGCCCTCGTGTACCAGCGTGCATCACAGGGCAGGTTCAACTTCCTAAACATCCTACCTGTCCATCTGCCTCACGTCAGCACGCCGCCCCTCGCCTTTTCACGCTCTCGCTCCTTCTTGCGTACAGTGAACACAAGCCCCTCCCACAGTGTGGCTGATTAGAAGAGCAAGATGAAATGTGAAGCAAAAATCAGTCTAAATTTTTGTTCCAGTGTTGGCACAAAGCAGGTCTACAGCATAGAGCGGATCTACAGAACAAACCTACTGCCACATTTGGCTGAAGTTTGCCTAATTAAAGTGCACAAATGCATCTGTGTTTGTCACGATGTGTGTTTGGTTTGGTAAATGTGCAGAGGCTGGTAAATATCACTGCAAAACCAGAAAAGAATGTAACTCCAGTTTGGAACTTTAAAAAACAGGTTTAAAAATCTTCCTTCACTTTTTTCACAGTTTTGTGTAAAGTGCCAGAGGAAGTTCTCTTAAAGAAGGGGTTCTCAAACTGTGGGTGAGGGTCCAAAAAAGAGCACAGAGTGTTTCAGTGCAGTTTGCTTGGCTTTGTTTTAGGTAGATCTTTATGACTTGGTCATTTTGTAAGTAGCTCACATGTTGAAAAAGTGTGAGCACCCCTGGTCCAGAGATTCCATCCTCCATGTGCTGGTTCCAGACAGGGGCGAGCAAGGCCAGTGCTTGATGGTCTGGGTCCGAGCGGGTACGTGCCGTTGTCTGAGCGTGCAGCAAAAGCGAGAATGTGCTGTAGACTACAGGTCCGCTCAAGAACTGTGGCTGGTTCCAAGGTGGTGCAGCATCCGGATAGAAGCGTGAGTCCAGTTTGGTTGGTTATTTGTTGTTCTGAGCATCCGTACTCCATGCTCTTGGCTCTTCCCGGGGAAAGTTCTTCTCAGGCCGAGGCTCCTAACACCACTCCCCACTTCAGCTCCTCTGAACCCGGACTGAACTAGAGCTGCTCCCGCTGGGTCAGGAATCTGGTTTGGATCTAATCCGACTGTATTTCTCACACTAGGCTAAAAGCAGAGCATTTTGTTATAGGGCCCGGTCAAGCAGAAGTAAACAGCAAGGCCAAAAATTCAACTTAATGCATCTGATATAAAAATGTATTGAACAGATAGCATATGTACTCTAGTTTATGAAACGGTTTACCTTTTTTCTGTACCATTTTTGGTTCTAAAGTTCCATATGTTTTAAACAGACCATGTATGAAACATGGAACAAAAATTATTTCCCAAATTTCAAAGACCTGCAAATTATGTAAATAAATGGATGTATTTCATCATATCTTGTGTTATTCCATCTTTGAACTGTTGATGAAGGTACAGGATTTTTCAAAAAAATGTATTTCAAATGATAAAAATTTGCTTGGAAGGACTGACATATTTTATAGAAATAGTTTCCTTTCATTTTGAAGTATATTAAAGTATTCGGAAGAAAAAAGCTGATAAATGATGTAAAATCCTGCACCTTCTACTTGTTTGTACAATTTCCCTCCATTACTTTTCCCTCTGTTACCATGACCTTTCTTAATAAAAAATCTCATGAGTCAAAAAGTAAGAGATTTTTTAACCTAATCTTGTACCATATGGTAGAAAACTATATGAAGCAAATATTCAAACCAGTTTGTTAAGGATATGGAAGTGAGAACCAAGAGTTATCACTGTTTGTGTTTATTGCTCAAAAAGTGCTGCATATTTCATTCCCTCTGTTACCGACATGAGTTTTTAAATTTTTTGTCAACAACTTGAAAGAATATCACAGGTTTAACTTGACCCTGTTGGA